AGTTTCGAATTCTTGATCGCTTTGTATAAAGCTGCAGTTAGTAATAAATATTGTTGAAATGTTGATTATCATCGGGTTATTTATTCTTTCTTTTTCTGTCTCAGCTACCTACAACAAGCGAGTGGAAAACAACCAGGAAGTTGTAAGAAGGGTCGGTAAAGATACCGAAGATCTAGAAGAGAAATGTGATGTAAAGAAGGAAGGCGAACGAGAAAATAATACAATTCTGGAGAAAGAACTTCCATCCTGTCTTCACTATGAAGGTATATTAAAAAAATGTTTTTAAAGGTCCATCCTGTCTTCATTATGAAGGTATATTAAAAAAATGTTTTTAAAGGACCTTTTCAAGAGGCGGGCACCCTGTACTAAAGAGCATTAAAAGAAAAAGCAAGGGTTTCTGAGGAAACCGCAAAGTAAAAGTATTGCACCGTAATTTTTTGTGTGTGTTGAAGCGGTTATGTATCGAACTTAGACAGGGAAAATATTTTCAATGTTTATCGCTTTTTTCCAGGCTTTCATATGAAAGGTTTTCATTGGTTTACATTGTACAGCTCCGTTCTGAGTGAGACTATTGACGGCATGAGCCTCAAGTAAGTGTTGGTGTCATTCAAAGGTACATTGATATCAAGAAAGATGATCAATTTGAAAGAAAAGTACGAAACTGGGTGGGTGTGTGTCGGAGGGGGGTTGGCCTGCGCAAAATGTAATATTACATCTGTAAAGGAAGGAAAAGCGGTATTAATTGGATAAAAGTTCTGATTCAGAGGTTTACTTTCATTGGTGGGGTTATTTCTAAAAACGTTGTCAGTGGTTTGCCACAAATCACAGTATCGGGTCCAAAGTCTTTCTTTTAAAACATTTCCAGTTAGACTGTGGTGTCATTTTATTTTTGTTTTCCTTCCCTGTTGTAAATACAGTTGCATCCCTGATGCTATTGCCTCAGTGCTCAAAGGTTCTAGCGAGCCACTCATAATTGTATACAAGAATTCAGACAACAGCACAACATACCTGTCCGACTGGAGCGGAGAAATCCTGGACAGGATTTGCAGTCAGTGAGTTTTGAGACAGTCTTGTTTCCTGTGACAATGATGTGCTCAAATTTTGTAAGATCGAGTTTTGTTTTAAACTATATGTGAACGGAACTTTTCCGTAAAGGTACCTTAGACTCTTGTTAGGAACGATCCCTTCCTGGCATCGATAATAAGTGGCAAGGTTTCCGCCATAGATACTCGAAAAGAAAAGTACCAAATTAAAATATAATAATTGCGCGTCTTTCTTCCTTCTAAATATTCTTAAAACTTATCAGTTTCCAGGAATAACATCACTAATGCCGTTTGGGTTTTTGATAGCTTTGAAAATCAAGTCCTCCGTATCATTCTGTGTAAGCCTTCATGGTTCGCACAGACGGCAGTTAAGGAGAAGAGAGAGAAATTCTTTAGGTAAGCAAAAACCAATTTCCATTTATTGTACTATCACAGCTGTTAATGCCATTTGTTAATCGCCAAGGTGAAAACTGAGAATCCATTTGTGGTAAAGAAATTGATTTAAAAGCATTACAAGTGCACTTTATTTTATGGAATGAGGAAGCAGAGATGTTTACTCTTGAATGTGTCTTACAGTCTGCGCGTCACAGAGAAGTTGAAGTTTGCCAATGATGCTAAAGAGTTTGCCAAATTAACAGGTAAACAAATAATATATTTGATATAAATTATTTTAAATATTGAGATATATTGCACGGTGAATTAGCACCACACCCTTCATCACTGGTAAAAAATCAAATACTGAGTAAAGTAACAATCAAACGGAGGACTCTGAGGGGGGTACTCTAAGGGTTAGGGATAAGACTGCTGGGTAGGATTGAGTGATCATCCGCCATCTTGGATTTTATCACAGAAGAATGAAGGGAGTGAAACTTGGGAACTTCCTGGATCTCTTAACTATGAAAGTTTTTAATTAACATCTGATAAACCAGATTTGAAAAAAAAATAAAATAAGTTCGTGAGTAACCTGAAGTGCAGACTGAGATAATGAAGTTCGTAAGAAATTTATTACCAAAAAGTTAATCGTAGCTTATTTCCTTATTCTCTGTGACAGGTTTCCCGTGTGAAACAAGGAAAACATTACAGTCATACTGAGAATCATACCAAATTTCCAGTGACAAGATTTATGGATTATGTATTCACTTATTTACCTTGTAAATTAAATTCAATATCAATTTCCTATAAGTCCTTATTCAGGTTTACGATGTAAGCATTATATTATTCATAGAGTAACAAGTGAAGCTATCAGTGTTCATCAGTTTCCCATAAGTTAGCCAAGTAGAGTACAGTGTAGGCTCAGTCTCCTTCTCAGTCTTCAACGGTGGGTTTTCGGTGCTCCCACGATTCTCTCCGAGTGTGGTAGGATTGCGGACTCACTAAAGCACCCGCGTCTGTAGACTAAGCCTAATGATACTGGTGATAACATGATTGAGTATAAGAACGGTTGGGATAACCAAATGAAGTGAGTGGTAATGTCCGGTTAATTAGGCAGGTTTTCATGCCTTCCGTATCTAAATAGTATTTCTGAACCTGATACATCAACTAATTGCTGAAGATTAAGTTGCATGTATATTAAAGGATTGAATATCCTGGAAATCTACGTTCTTTTATAACACACAAATAGTGTTATTTTCGAATCAAATTGGGTCAGGTTAGGTTCACCATCTCCTACCAACCGGGGAAAGCTTAACTGATAAAATCCCAGAAAAACTCTCTCTCTGTGAAGAATCTTTTTTCTAGCAAACCATGAACATTGTGATTAATAAAGTATTTATTCGTTATATTTTATCGTGTGGACCACGCATTTTTACGACCAGTGGCCTAGCAAATTTGGGCCCCCTAACCCATTATCACCAGCGGATTTGGAGCCGATCCACTTTCTCGGCGGATTCGGATCCCCGGTCAAAACCCCTGTCAGAAATGGGCCTTCGTTTATTTTGACTCATTTCCTGTAAAATAAAAGCGTACAGCGTAATCTAATTATTTTATACTGTGAGGGAAGTTTCCAAATATTTTTTAGAAAAGATACAAACTTTTATCTTAGTTTACTAGTTGTTTTAAAAATGGAAATGACGTATCTTTTCCTGGGTTTGCGGAAGCATTTTAAAACAAAATATACATTATTAGAATAGCCTGTACAGAAAAATTTTAGACGATAACCTCGTATAGCGAACGTTATTATTACAGTTAAAAAAGTTAGAAATGTGTTACTTAATCTTCACACAACATAAATCATTGTTTCTGAGTGTTTTATCCCAACCTCTCTCCTCCTAGTTTCATCTGTCATTTTCCCGCCATTGCGCAAAACTCATAATGACGTTGGAAGACTCGGTTCTAACGCTTACCAGACCCCCACGACCGCGTGATACATTCTGATACACGAATCTGTTTTGTTTCACGAAATTTTGTTTTCATATTTTGATCTTCTTTTCCTTTCGCGTGAGTTTCGCGTAATACTGTTTTAAAGCAGTTTTATTTTACCTTAAGTTTCGCTATGGTGGTAAAACGATGCCCAAACTGCGATCAGACGGTAAGTTCAAAATGTAAGTTGTAATATTTATGACATTTAGGCAACGCGGTGATTTTAATCGCAATTTTCTCGTTTAAAATTCAAACGTTAATTGCCATAAATGCCTTTTAATAAACTTGAGGGAGAAATAACATATAATTAATTGATCGTTTCTTGAATTTTCCTTTTTACGGCTGATTTGGACTTTTAATCATGGAATCGCATATATCAATTAATTTGGTGCCACTCGAAAACCTCGATGTTTCATAAAATTGGCTTACCCAAGCAATTTACTCAGTTACATTCAAGCACATCGTTTGTTTGAAATTTTTTGTCGGAAATGTATTTTAGATTCGAACATTTCCAAAATAAAAAAAATTCGTTTTGTGTCTAATCTAGATCTTAAGCTATGATTAGATATTATTTGTATCAATATTGGAATACTAAGCGAAGTCTTATATTAAAGTACTTCAAATGTTGAAGATTTATCGGGTTGTAGAAGATAAAAGAATAATTTGTCAAGTCAGATCTCTTAAGGGAACGTTCTTACATTTTTTGGACGGTAAATTATATTTTTAAAGTTGTAATTATTTTTCTGTGTCAGTTCAATCATTCTTAATTAGCAGGAAAACTAGTGACAGCACTGAATATTACAACGATGATCCATATGAATTCATTTTATGGTGACTGGTAAAATATAAAACCAATCAAGACACAGAGGTCTTTGTGGTGACCTCAGGGAAAAATAAGCCATTGTACCATTTGTTTCCTTGATGAAATGTATTTGTGCAATCACAAGACTTTGTAACTTCCCAAAGGCATTGATGACTCTGAGATTGAAGTTGAAAAGTTTGAAAGATCCACCTCCCCTAAAGTTACAGAGTTCTAGACGGTATTTAGTTGATAATTAAGTCAAAAGGGTATATGATGCTGTTTAAAGTTGTAAAAAATATTGCTATAAGGCCTGTAGAACTCCTCAAAAGACTTTAAACTGAGTAGAATTTATTTTCAATCTGAACTGTTGAGATTTTAACTCCTCTTGTCATAGTAGCAAATTAAACAATTTTTGTAGTGCTCAAATTTTCAATTATTACAATTTTTGCAAAACATCAGTTCTTTGGTTTCTCTGTTATTGATAAATGTTGATTATGGTAAAAATTTAGAAACCACTAAAGTGTTGATAGCTTTCCTCATGTGTTTTGCTTCATCAGCTCCCTGTGGCATGCAAATCATGTCCATGTGGCCACATTTTTATCAGCCGAAAACTGCATCAAGCTCAAGTCAAAAAAGAAGGTTAAAATGAATTTTATTTGTCTCCTAGTTCTCAATGTTAAATTTATCTCCAATTTTTTTTTTTAACTCTTTCACCTAAAGAAGTAACCAATACATAATTTCTCCTTGTACCATCATCATTTGATCAAACACCCAACTCTCAGAGCAGAATTTATAGGAAAGGTATGACAGACAGTAAGGAGAATTTTGTTTTGGGAATTAAAGTATTAATTAAGATAAAGGTTTCTTTGAAAACATTAAATGTATTTTGGTTTTACAGGAGAGAATGTGAATGTTCTAGAACGTGACAAAAGACTCCGTCCTGAGAGGCCTAAGAAGGAAAATCCAGATTTTGATTATGAATTCCCTGAAAATCTTGTTTGGGTCAACAAAGACCAGATGCCTCTTCCTTTAACTCAGAAAGATACTGTCAGAATTGAGAAATTACAAGAGAAACAGATATCACAGATATCACAGGTATGAGACATAACTGTTTCCATCCTTAACTTCTGCATTGCCAATCAGTATAAGTTCATGTTTCACTTGATAAAAATCACATTTCTGTCTTGAATCTTTCCCTTTTGTTGTTTGCTTTCTGGAAACATGAAAAAACATGGTTTTTTTTTTGGCAATGCAAGAACTGCTATTTTGGATGTGTTCATACTGTTTTGCATAAGAACTTTAGGAGTTATAAGTTGGTATGGTGGTCATTTTAGGTTGAACCTTGGCATAATCATTCTGCTGACTGCTCTTTGCCAAAGAATATTTTTATCTAACAGAGCTCCTCACCACCCAAGAGCATAAATTTGGTAGTTTATCTGCATTGGAGTGTTATCACAGTCCAGGGGGTGTGGGTAGCAATGCTCTTTGTGTCACTTGATGGGAAAGAAAATTGGACAAGCTGTGGCAGGGGTGGGCCATACCATTGTGAGCTCAGAGGAACTTTTCTTCAGCATCATTACTTTAATGGGAATACTTTGTTGTATGTAGTGTTTGTCTAAGAACAAATTAAACATGCAATTAATTAAATATAATTGTGTTTTGGTTTGTAGCTTCCTCAAACTATTGATGGTGTGGTTCTTCCCAAAAAGAGAGGTCGGCCAAAAGGATCAAAGAACAAAGTTAAGACTGACTCTGTTACAGGGGAAGTTATTCATCCACAACCACAGGTAGATATTTTGTACTGACAGTAACTCTTGAAGGTTCATTTAATTCTCAACACCCTTGGATCAGTATCCATATTCTCCAATCTCTCCTCTTTACAGAGGTACTGAGAAAGAGAATTCATATTTAAAGCAGTCAAGGCTTCTCAGGATAGTAATCATTTCCTGTATTTTTATGATCTGCTGAATGATTCAGCAGTGTAACTGTAAGGAAAAATGAGATGTTGGTCACATTTAGGGTTTAAAGGGTGAAAGGGAATGAAAAGAAAGATGACTCCCAACTCAGGGATATTGTTTTATAAAACTTTAAATTCTCAGGGCTAAAATGATGTCCACCAATGGTTAGAAAAGCTACTCTTCTTGAATAAGGATTGTCAACTGTAGTTCACTTCGATTCTTCACAGTTATGATTACCCAGGGACATTAACCCTTTAACTCATTTTAACTCATATGAGTGACCAAGACACCATTTCTCCTTACAATATTGATACAATGTCAAGCAGACAAGTGATGAGAATAAATGCAATATGGACAAGGGATTATTAGTTGATGGAATACCACATTCTCCAAACTAACATCATGAGAATTGTATGTTAGACAGTTAGAGGAATTGGTGAATGGGTTGAAGAACCCAGGTGCAATATAGCAAAAATATAGGGCTGGTGCAAAACTTCTGGTGTTATATGGTGTAGCTTTGGGCTCAGATTGTGAAGGAACAGATAACAGCTGCTCAAGAGGCATGACTACATGGTGACATCTACTCTTGCTCTGTTTGACCCTCCAGCTTGAAAACCCTGGTGTGGAGTGGGTATCAGTCCATCTAACTGTTGTGTGCTTGGTTGCCAAGCCTTTGAACAGGAGTGAGGCTAAGGGTGACCTTGTTATGATACAAACATTTTTGCTTTTCAAATGTAAATTACTTTGTTATCATGCTAACTAGATACTGGTCTCTATCACAACAAGGTCACCTTTAGCTTTTCTCTAGATCAAAGATGTGGCAACTAGGTACACAACTGTCAAATGACATAGTGATATTACAGACTGATATAGATGTCTTATTGAACAAAACTCTTTCTCTTTGCAGCCAGTTCAGCTTGACGAAGATGGCATGCCAATAAAACGAAAGAGAGGTCGTCCAAAAGGCTCCAAAAATAAGCCAAAACCACAATCCCTTTTATCCCCAAACAAGTCAGTTAAGAATGGAAATGATGATGGTGAAGATCAGACATCCAGTGGATCTGATAACAAAGAACCTGTGGACGTCATGCCACAGATTTCTCGTGAAAAGGCTGAGATGTACTCCCTAATTTTGAGTGACATCAACCAAAAAATGATGTCACAGTCATGCATGAAGTATGTGTAATATAGAGATGGATGTTGTGGTTGAAATGATTTCAATATCAAAATTATTTCAATTTAGGTGAGAGAGTAGGAGAAGTTATGAGTGCATGGAGTGCAAAGTAAATGATTTGGTATAATTCCCTCTTAATTGTCTAATGCACAATTTGGCTGCTAAATGCACATTATTGGTTGTATCAGTAACAAATTTTGCAGAGAAAAGTTTGAAGAACCCTGCTCATTAGTAACATTTTAGGATGTGGTTTCTTTGATTTCTTTTGCTGATACCAGAAAAACAGGAAAAAAAACTTCTAACTCACAGGTAGTTGTATTTGATGATTGAATGTGTCATTACACATTAATAACATGATATTCAGACATGCAGTTGACCAATGAAAGCCATTTATTCTAGATATGATCATGAGTATAACTTATAAATGAAAGATATTGCTTGTTCCAGATCAGTTACCTTAATCATAATCATCACTAAAGGGTAAAAGTGGAATATGTCAGTCAGTGAAAATGAAATCATTTTGACCACAAATTCATTTTGCAGTACAGCAAGCATGTGAAGTCTCGCTACCAGCAGTATAGTATTTATTATTAAAATTAAATTTAGGTATGAAATAAGCTTACATTGGCACAGTTCAAGCTTATATGTATATAGTTTTTGCTTTACAAATGAGGCTAGATTCAAGTTCGAACTATAAATCAGTTGATGGACGAAGATGGTCTTGTGGACTGCAGATATGATCAACGATTCCTCATTTTTGTGAATCAAACTGATCCAAGATTGAAACAACTTCATAATTTTGTCAGTTTACAACAAAACAAAATGTGTGTTGGTAAATATTTAGTGGAGATTGTATATGAAGGCAGGTCCTTCACATTTTGCTTTGAAATCTTCCAACTGAACAATAGTAAGTACTTAACTGTAAGTCAAAGGTGCTATTGTCAATTAATTGCTTTTATTAATGATATAAATTGTGGTAATTTTTATGATCTTTGTATTTAGATACAATCAGCAAATGAATGTATTTTCAAAACTATTAATAATAGTAAACTTTACAAGCATATTTTCCTTGCTACTGCATAATATAATTTTGTAACTTGTAAATAGCCACTTTACCAGGTTTGTAATACTTCATTGGCCTAATTGTAGGTTTTCTGATAAGAATGTTTGGAGGAAAGATAATGATTATTTTTGTCTTTTATGCTAGATTTCCTATTGTATATAAAAGTAATAAAAATTAGTTTTCTTGTCAGATATTGCTTGTTCCGGATCAGTTACTTTAATCATAACTAAAAGGTTAAAAATGGAAAGTGTCAGTCAATGAAGTTGAAATCATTTTGATCAAAAATTCATTTTGCAGTACATTAGGCAAGAAAAGATAACAATTGTTTTTGTCTTTTAGGCTTATATTTCTTGTTATATATAAAAGTAGTAAAAATTAGTTTTGTTGTTCAAGGGTTATAGAAATGAAGCAGTAAATAGCTTGAGCCAGTCAGTGGCAGTTGTTGTCCATGTGTTGTGAATATGAAGGTCAAGGATATCCTGTAAAAGATTGTAAAGTGTGATGATGACTGATGTTTCAAAATCCCAGACAAAAAGCCACTTGTAAGTAAAAGGCAAAATTGATTGAATGGATGGCAACTGTTCAGGTCATTGTTCAGGTCAATGTGGCTTCACACTGTGCTAAGGCAAGTGTGGTACAGTCTAGCTGTGAAATTTGGCTGTCTGAAGAGAATGAATTTTTTTAAGTTATGAATTGTACTCTCAATAGTGTTGCTATCCTTGGTTAGTGTTGTGTGATGCCCTCTCAAGAAGATTGGCTGGTTTAATTTTGGTTCAACACACTGACACAATGGGTCCCTTCTGGTACACTGCACTCATTAAATGCACAATAGGCTAGGTGGCACTATTGGTTCCATCTTCTAACCACTCCCTATCCTCATTACTTCAGAGTCAACACCCTCTCCACTAATCCACTCAATCTGCAGGCATGCATCATTTTGCTATTCATTACTTTCAAAATTTCTGGTGTAATCTGTGGGCCCCATGTGGTTGCAATGTGAACAGAAACACTCCATGAAGCAAACTGCTGTTTAATTTCCTCACCTATTTAAAAAGAGGTAAAAATTATGGGGAAGCATGCTGTTTACTTCTTACGCGAAAGCTGTTGTGTCATGGAAACCTCACAAAATAAGCTGATAGTTATGGTCATTCATGTTGTGCCAAAAAAAAATCACTGATACAAAATATACTTTTATAGAGAACAACTACACAAACTGCAAGCAGGGTCACTGCCACCTCTCTTACAAGGAGGGGGTCTCAAAAGCTGATTGAAGTTTTAAAGGAAAGTATTGAGCCATTTCATGTCAAGACAGGTGGAGGTGTTCCAAAGAAACACCTATTACTGTGAGGGGAACAAATATTTGTTCCCAAATCTCATTTGTAATTCTCTCTACTGTCTGCCATACAATTATTAGTTAGGTCAGTTTGGAGAATTTGGTATTGAAACAATTAATAATCCCCTAATTGACACTTTTTTCATTTCTCATCACTTGTCTGCCTGATATTACATTGATGTTGTAAAGGGAAAATTCTGTCTTGGTCACTTATGGGAGTTGAAGGTTACCCAAGAGTTAAGCAACCAAGTGAAAAGAAATTTGATTTAACAAACATCTAAAGATGCACTGAACCTTGCCTCTTGAATTTCACTGCATTTGGGATTGATCTGATGTACATCTGGTGAATAACTTTTTAATTCATAAATATAATAAATTAAACTAATGCTTTAATCTTAATTGTAATGCACACATAATAAATATTTCAAGTGTTCAACGTTGATGGTAACAAAATGTGCTTGCAACACATAATAATTTATGAGGTATCAATGTTTCTTGTCACACCGTGGCCAGATGGTAGATTGTGGCATTTCAACTGAACAATGATAACTGTAATGTGCGATAAGTTACCAGTATGCTGATGAAATGTTGGGATCTACTGTTTGTCACAGCTGACCTCACTGTGACACAAACACTAATTGGAAACTTTAAGAATAATTTTCTCTCACCACAATGGAAAACCTCAACCTTATTAACTTCAACTTTATATTTACAATAACACTACAAAAAAAAATAATGTTTGATTTAGTACTTTTAGTCTTGATAAGTACTTGTACTATCAATCTTGAGATCTTTGGACACTTCAGAATTGCAAGGGGAAGCTTGTTGTTGTGATTCACTTTCTCACTTTTTTTCCAGACTGTAATCCACCCTCTGCAACTTTCTGTATTCTCTCTCTCCTTCTGAGTGGCTACTGATCCAACAAAGACTCCATACTGCTACACACCCTCTCAAGTAAAAAAACAGGTTACAGGCCATTTCAGTGATCTTCATACCCTCATTTTCAAAATAAAGCCAAGAGTAGAACTTAGTCTTATGAAAATGAGTTTTCTTTGCTTGAAATAAAATTCATTCTCAGATCGAAAGCAATGTAATTGGCTTCCTTTTAAAGATATACTTTAGACATCTTGAAAGTGGCTTATTTTGCAGCTTAATGTTTCCACATAAACTAGAAAAATCAAGTATTCTACATAACATTCCCATTCAGATCCAAGAAATAACTCCATACTGCTACACACCCTCTCAAGTAAAAAAAGGTCACCCATGCTAGTTACAGGCCATTTCAGTGATCTTCATACCCTCATTTTCAAAATAAAGCCAAGAGTAGAACTTAGTCTTATGAAAATGAGTTTTCTTTGCTTGAAATAAAATTCATTCTCAGATCGAAAGCAATGTAATTGGCTTCCTTTTAAAGATATACTTTAGACATCTTGAAAGTGGCTTATTTTGCAGCTTAATGTTTCCACATAAACTAGAAAAATCAAGTATTCTACATAACATTCCCATTCAGATCCAAGAAATAACATATAATAAATTATATTACAAAATTCAGTAATCCTAGTAACTCAATCCCACTGAGTTATAAGGCAGAGTTGGAATCTCTGTATTTTTGCATAAACTCTTGATGGAAGACTTTAAAACGTTCAAACAGAGGCTTGAGTGCTTCAATGGGAGGCAAGATTGTCAGCCTGAAAAACAACCAGAGGAAAAAAAACCTTTGAATTCACATAAAGTTTTTGTATTTTTGGTGTTAAAGTGTGAGATAAAATGTGGAAGCTTTTTAATCTTTAAAAATCTTGCAGAATGTCCTAATGTCTTGCACCACCCTACCTGAAATGGAATGTTCCATCTCTTTGTCCAAAACCATTTCCTGGGACAACACACAGTCCTGTTTTCTCCAACAATTCCAGAGCATAAAAACTGTCAGGATGCATACCTCTGGACTAAACAAAAGGAGGAAAAATTATGAGCAAATCAACATTTACTTCTTAAACCCAAAGAGCTTCAAGTATCTTATTCCTCTTGACAGTATCACTGCTGAATCCATCACTAAGCTCACGAGAAAAGTGGTAATGATTGCCAACTAAAAAAGGTATTAGTTGTTAAAAATAATTTACTTTGTCAGTTCCATAAGAAATGTGTAAAGAACAGTGCAGAGATTAGGTAACATTGGAGTTTTACAAGGTAAGTAAAAACTCTGTAATATTGCTCTTGTTGAAGAGTGATTTAGGGTAAAGGTAATTCTGAAAAGGACCATTTTTGGAGACTGTAACTAGAATGTTATGACTACCTGATCTGAGGTCATCATCAGAGCAAAAAAATTCACCATCAAGAGTCACTGTCACAGCCGATGTTTGGATTTGTCAAACAACATGCTCACTCTGAAGAGTGCATTGCAAAGGAGACCACAGAATTCTTATTTTGAGAACAAGATCTAATGTTCATATCAAATAATTGTCATTTACCTTTGCCTCTTCTTGTGCCCTCTTAGGGATTGACACATTGGGGAAGGCATACATGGCACCCATAACTTCATTACATTTAATACCCTCCATTGAGTTGAATGTCTCGGCAACCAGTTTAGCTCTGTCTTTAAATGACTGAAGCACTGCTTTTTTCTCCTAGCAATTAAAATTATGAGTTAGACACAGGTGTAGCTGTGAAAATTTAATTGCAACCAACTGACTGTTGAAATATTCTTTGGTTAACTAGTGCTTATTTGATTACACAAGGCCAGAACCTGGTAACAACAATTACTTTGTCCTAGCCATACTACTTTCAAAGGAACTTGTGTTTACAAGAGCAACACACACAGCCACATTCCTTGTCAGATGAAAGTTCAGCTGCAGTTCTTTACAACAAGACCAATGCCATATCTATTTTTCAGGGTAATAAATTTACTTGAAGAATACTTATATCAATCTTTTTAGACTAGTGAGGCCCAAAAGTTGCATAGAATTATTTTGCTTACATATCTACTGTCATTTTAACAAATGATTCTTATTCCATGAAATCATCTGAACATTTTTCACTGCATAGCCAATATCTTTAGACAAAATCTCTGCCAAAAGCCACACAACACTGTCCCTAAAGCAATTGCTGTCCCTTACCTCAATGAATGTGTTATATGATATGTCACCAGGTTGAGGCGGACTAACTAAGCAGTCCATCATTGCCTGAGCAAAAAGGATCAAAATGACAAAAAAGTAGCTTAGGAAAACTTGTTTCAATAACTGCCGAAGAGTGAACAAAATAAACTAAAAAAATAAATAAATAAACAGTAATCATTCACCAAATTCGACTGAAAGGAGAGGAAATGGCTCACCTGTCCTGTGATACAAGCACAAAGTTTTGCTGACATCATCTTTTTCAACTGAAATCTGACTTCATCATCCATTCCTGTAATTTCCATATAACCTCCTCTAAAGCCACATCTAACAGAACACAAAGGACAGTATGCAATAAGTCATCAGCTCACTTGCTCACTCCAAATGAGAAGCTAGTTCAGCATAAATCACTTAGTCATACATGTACCCTTGGACAGAGTATCAAACAAATTTGGTCAAAACTCAAACCCAGACCTCTTGGATTCCAGAATTCCAACAACAAGGCCATTGTCTAACACAATACAACAATATAACCAAGTTCCTAACCCAGATTTTGTATACTTATATTCTTGTCATACTTATACTTTATCTGTACAATTTTACTATTTCTTTTGAATCAGTAAAACTCCAATATTAGTGATAAATTTAAATCCAAATTCATGATAACTTTAATCAATTAAAAGTATTCTTCATTACTATCTTACAGGCAGTAAGAAATATGGCTGGGCAAGAGTACCATTCACTAATTAAAATCATTTTTAAGAATTAGAGCCATTGACTTACTCTCCAAGGAATCCTTTGGATGTTGAATGGAATGAAATCAGTTCAAAGTCTTCATAATCTGGGCCCAAGTCTCTAAGGACCTTTTTGAAGGAGTGGAATTTGGCACCTTCTCCATAAATATTTGCTTGGTAGACCTAAGGAAAGAAAATTCAAGATGACATGATGACAGCACTCAAAAGAGCATTGACAACAGTAGCCAACTCAACAACCCAACACTCAAGAAAAATTGTGTAACTATAGTTTCTGTGCCTAGTTAAAAAAAAATTTGCTCTTTTTCTGGTGGAACATTGTATCTGTAGTGTGAGGGTCATGAGATGATCAGTTTTAACTGATAACTGTCAAATGTTACCTGCATTTAATAAAGATTTACTTCAATCAACTACTACAACAGGTTATGCACAATTGAAAGTAAGCCAGCTCAAATTATTGAGAAACTTTAAAGAGACAAGTTTTTAGAGCACACCTACCTCATCTGCGAGTAAAACAAGTTTCTCATCTTTACAGAATTTAATGATGTCTTTGATGTTGTCATAAGAAAGAACTTGCCCTGAGGATGAAAAAGTTGATCCACTTAGTTTGCAGATTGGGAAAAGATACAAGCCAGAGTGTTGAGGTTTACAGCAGGGGTTTTCAAGACCAATGCCACCAAAGGTGACTTATCACATGGAGGGGAAGGCGGTGAGCCAGCTCTATCATTTGGCACTGGTAAATTTCCTGAGGCACTTATTCAAACTAACTTTAACTCGAAGATACTGTTCAGCCCTTCAACACTTTTCTTAACCTTTTAAAACCCGGAGAGTGACTGCTGTTAGCTTCTAATTTCTCCTTACAGTAAAACTGCTGAATCATTCATTAGACCTTGAAAATAAACAAAATGATCACCGACCTAAGAATTAAGCTTTAACTGTTATACAAATTTTTCTTGATCTTAACAACTTAGCTATTATCATTACTTTCATTTTCATCATCATTTTTAAAAAGGTTCTAATACCTGTTGGATTACCAGGATTTATGACACACAAAGCACGCGGCATACAATTAGGTCTGGCCTCATTTAAAGCCCTTTTCATGTCTTCAGTGTCTAGTGCCCATCCATTGGCTTCATCAAGGTAATAGTTGATCTGTAAAGAAAAAATTCAATAATAAAACATCAATGCTGTGTGTAAGTATGTGAAATTCATTTTAACCAATCTAAAATTGAGGAATAAACCAACAGAATCAAACAGTACAGTCACAAGAATAAAGGAAATGGTGGACAACTTATAATTGCAGCTCTTGCACGTTAAACCAATTCTCCTCATCAGCACTTTAGGAAATGTAACTAGAACTGTATGGAGAATATGCATACTGATATTAGGGTGTAAAGGGTTAATTGACCTTGAGTTACCTGATAAGAGTTCAGCTCAGACAATGTCGCTGAATAGAGGGGATACTGTGGTATCGGAATCATAATACCAGCCCTGTTATTTCCAGTGTTGACACTTGTTTGAAGTAATTTTAATATAGACTACAAAAATAAACATTGATATCAATAAGCATAAATATTAAGTTCTGGTTGGGTTGTTAAAGATCAGTGACATTGCACCAGGCCTCTCAAGTAGATATCAAGTTCTGTTTGTAGTAAACTGAAAGTAAATATAGCAGTTCAATCTCTTTAATTTAAAGTTGCTAATGGTTTGTGCACTGGACTCTGGGTCAAGAGGTCTGGGTCGCCTGTTGAGTCAATGTGTTATGATTTTGGGTTAAACAGTTTATTCTCACAGTGCCTCTCTACAGCCAGGAGTATAAATGGGCACTGGTGAATTGTCAAGGAAGCCTGTTGAAATGCCAGGTGTAACGTTACCATGGACTGGCATGCTAAGAAAACTGAGATAAGCTCTCACTGAATGGGCTACTTGGCTTGAGCCCAAACTTTTCATCTAAAATGTTGTGAAAAAAACTTAAGCTTCTCTTCTTTCATGGAAAAAAAATGCATGAATATTCAGTTTCTCTCCTGGGCCAAAATGGATGGAGTGACCAAAAATTAGACCTATCAATAGTAAGAAAGTTTCCATCCCTTCTGGTTGTAATTTAGACAAGCTATTTTCAATTGGCTTACTCTTATACCCTCACTGGCACCACTTGTGAGGTAAATGTGACTAGGATCTGATGGGTAACCATCACGTTCACTGATGTATTTAACCACATTTTTCCGAATATCTTCCAGACCTTGAGAATCTGAGTATGCACCTACAAGAAATAACACAATTGTATTAATTCTATAATGAGATTCTACCATGTTATATTTCTGAATCCTAAAAGTGTTACAAGCTTATCAAGCCTGTTCCACATTCTGAATAAAGAAAGCAAGAATGCGGAACAAAGGATATTGGGATCAACTCTGAAGATCTAAGTCCCAGCCACTTAACCTTTTAATGCTCAGAAGTGATTAATGCATAACTTGTAACTTCTTTTTTAGATAGATAGATAGATAGATAGACTGTTTATTCACAAATACATCGCAGTCATTAGACTGAATTGCGTATTTCACAGAGAAATATATAAATAGGCAAATGTTAAAACTAATCACAAACATATGAACATGATATAAATATATAAGTATCTAATGGGATTAAAATATGTATAGTTACTAGCTAAGTACTACGCGTTGTTTGTTGCTAGGCATCTTTGGACATTGCATACACAAAGGACTGTCTAAAGCGGTCTGTGCGCGAGCGTGGTAGATTATATGTTCTCTGTTGTCGCAGGCAGTAGCTTTGTTCATTTCTTGGGGGCAGTAAGTTGTGTAGTTTATGCCCCGAGTTGTTGGCGATTGAATCAAAGAGTTGTTTACATAGTTCATTGCGTCTCTCTTTTAGCGTTGGCAGGCCTCCTTGTAATATCCATACATTACCCAGCAAACAAGTTACGAGAATACTCAAACTTATCGAGTAGAAATTATTCTCCAAATCTAACAACAAATGTTTACAACTAACTGACAAAGAAATGCGTAGTGTCTAGAAAGGAGAATCAACAATCAGATCCCATTCTTCTGATCCCCCTTAGATGAGTAAGTTTGAAAAATTAAAACTTATCATTAATGGTATGCTGTCAACTAACCATCTGACAAAACTCACCCATACTGTGACCCTTTGTGGCATTCAATATGCTCCTGGCTTTTGCTTTTGCATCAGAAGGAAAGTCAGCTGTATCAATAAGTTCTGGACATACACACATGGCAATAACCTACAAACACAAGACCTCGTGATTTTAAAAAGGAGTAAATAATGTCATAATTACTTAAGGGTAAGTCCGTGTTGAAGGGTCAGTAAATTATACATCAACCACTTTGGTATTTATTTAGACTCCACAGCTGTGAAACAGTGGAGCTGGTAGCATTATTGAACCCTTCTCTATGGACACCAATCCTATACAGAGATCCCATTATTACCATAGGTCTCTTGGCCCTTAGGGAAAACCTACAGATTGTCTCTAAATTTAAGAGCAGAATAGATTGCGATCTGGCTAAAATAAAAAATTTGAGAAAATCACCCTTATTTACCCTTGATGGAAAATCATCTGTAGCAAAATCTACCATTAAGAACCACTTTAGCGTCTTGAAAAACAAATAAGGCTGCACTGACCTGTCGTGGGAAAGTAAGTGGTTTCATTCCAAGGGCATGAGCATCTCCAATGTTTGCTTTTATTACCTCATTGAAAGGTTTCTGTGCACCCTGTAGATGACCAGTAAGTAAATTCTCCTTATAATACCACAATATGATCAAGTAAACACTTGGTGAGAATAAAGAAAACCATCAACTCAGCTAAGAAATGTTGTTTGAGTTAGCGATCAATTCTGAGAGCTAGCATTGGGAGAAGTGACAAAATTGTAAGTTTTTTGTTTAGTGCAACTTATCTTTCTCACCCACTGTAAAAATAAGGATATCAAGAAATGTGAAATTGTGTTTATCATCCTTACAAGGGGGCTAAAAAAGCAAAGGAAATGTTTCCTAATATAGCATTTCCATCTTATTTCAAAAAGGGTTTCCGTGGTTGAATCCTTATTGCATAGCGAGTGTAATGTCCATTCATATTGGAGTCAGTAGGCAAAACTTCTGTTTTACTGGCCTCTTATAAGTGTACAATTAGGTGATAGTTTTTAAGACTAGCCAATTAATTCCAACCAAGGTGTTCACCAAGACCTACATTAAGGAGACAATTGAGATCCAACTAAGATAATCCTCTTTGAAGAGAGAAAATGGTTTAGAATCATCCAACATTTATCTTGTTATTTTAGAATCTGTTGAGACCCTGGTGAACATAATATGATCCTTCTTGAACCTATTACATTACAGCAGCTGTACACCCCCTGAAAGATATTTTCTAGATAAACTTATTTTGTCAGTTGTACCTCTAGAATATTAACAAATCAAAGAGGCCATTGGACTAAAGCTTAATACAACATCAGCTTCTTCCTTCCCTCACAAAGAAAAACAAAACAATTTGGAAGAAGAGTTACCCATCTTATAGGAAATCTAATATGGATCTTCAATTGTAAGATCCCAAGGGAGAAGGTCAAAAGCAGCAGGAATTAATACACCAGTATAAATTATCAAAAGTAACATTATTAGGGTAAATATTTCTGTTTAACCCCATTCTAATCTAAAACAAAGCAGAAGTCCCACAGGTTATCTATTGTTTTTCCATTTTTTTCCATCATCCAAGTACTGTAAGAATGGGGTCATACAGAAATCTTGCCATTTTTGTTCTCATGGCGGGTAAAAAAATTTTGGCAAATGAATTTCCACCAATTTTGTGACCTGTTTTTGTGGTCAAGAGGCAACCTGTAACAAGGTTGAAAACTAGAAATTAAAACAATACAGTGATGATTGATTTATTCTTTCAGCTCCTCAACTGGCCATTGAAGAAAACTTATGTTTGAAACTGTGTCAAATCTGCATTCCAACACTATCTCATGGGAGATAAGTCAGGACACACCCCCAAACACACCACTTGTCACATGAGTTTAGTAAAATTATGACGTGCCTTTAGCACGTAGACCACGTTTATCAGAGACCAACAACTTCTCAAAAACAGATTTTATGAAAGTCTCACGCCAATCACGAAAAAGAAAATCCCGTATATTCCGACAGATTTCGTGAATGCCAACTAAAATAATTCAAAGTTATTGACACCCCGTTGTTTTGTTTAATATAATAACTTTTTGGCGGGTTGATGCGTTTCCGATTCAATCAAGGCAGCCTTCCTTTCGTTCTTGCACAAGCATGTACAATAGATGGCAAGGGTATTCGTTAATCATCACATTCCACAATCTTGTAATCAGATGAATTAAAAATTACCGAAAAAACATAATACAAGTCCATACCTTCGCCAGTTCTTTCTCCAAGGCCGAGGCTCGCTCAACAATCGCCCCTCTGACTGCATACTCTATCTGTTTCACGAATGGATTCATCGTTTCTCCGGTGAGAATTCTTTCGTTGGAGCATTTTCCGTTAGCTAGAGAGAACGAATGAAGTTGTACTGATCTGATCAAAGATCGTTTGCTTAACAAACTCGGTAGGCGGTGAGAGGCCATAACCTTTCTACAACTGCACTCAAACCAAATGTAATTTCGGCTGGTGGAAATTTATGTCAATAATTAATGGATGATGCACGCATACTTGCATTAGCCATTGAGAAGATTCGGAAATGTTCGGGTGTTGTTTTACTTCAACACTTCACCACCGAAGTTTGGAAATTAAACAACTGATACAGAGGAATCACTAAAAGACTACCGAAAATCTATCTAATAACCTAAAAGCATGAACAGGTTTAGATAAACATTTCGTTTTGCATTCGGGAAAGTTCGCTCCGGCCTCGTGGCCATAAAACTCATTACCAATCTCTCACGTGCAATACTATTTCGTGAAAGATCATCTATATTTCTGATGAAAGATTGGTGAAATACTCCCAGTTTTAACGCTAGATAACTCGTTTGAATAAGAGAACCATTCATCTTAGCACTGCAAGACTTTATTATTATTTCATACCTATTTTTTAACGATGGCGTCACTTTAAGGGCGGACTTTAGACGGAATGTTAAACACACTGAAGTTTTGTCTGACAACCCAAAAGTAAAATATAGCCCTGGCGTTTATACATGCAAGAATTACGCAATTACCGCGAAGGGTTCCGCTTGCCAGTTTCTCTGCGATGATCGCAAGTTAAACTACACACGAACATTGATTAAGAACTGTTAAAAATTTAAGAATTGAAACACTGTGATATAAATAACATAAACCTTTCAAATAAAGGCGAAGTAAACAGTGATTGCGTAAGATAAGACGCGGGAAGCGATGCTTTTGCTTATGCTAATTTGGACTCAATTATTTGCACTATCAGGGTAAAACTTGGAATCATTTTGTACTTCTGAAAGTGAATGTATACAAAACAACGAATGATAAAATCATATGGAATTCTTTCCTCAATAAAGGTGGTCTGTGAGGGAACCCGCAAGTGACAAGAGAAGTTAGATTATTGCCGCATGAGAAGTCTCAAGTTTACGCACTCCGAATGTTGAAAAAACAATCATTTAAGGTCGAGGTCAACTGGCAGTTTCGACAAGAGAGAGGATTAAACTAAAAAAAAAAAATTTATACGCAGTGAACGAGCAAGCAATCATGGTGTTGCTTCAGGCACGAGCAAAGATGTCTGTCGTCGACTAAATTCAGTTGGATTCGAAAACGCAAATGTTAAACACCTTCGAAATCGTCACTTACCTTGCATTGTGGTCCCACTCATTTTGCTTCACTTTTTTCGAGTCAGTCGAATAAAACACCGTCTAAATCTCAACTGCTACGATGTAACAGCTTTCGATATGGTACGTTTGTACACGTGTAAAAGAAATTTATTGGTTTGTTTGCGAAATCAAACACAAGTGCGTGACAAGTCAGGTCACGTTTCCAACACGATATTGTCACGTGGCAAACAGCAATACTTATATAAGTGTAATAACAACTGAGTTATTTGTTCTTCACTTTCTGTTCTTTTTAACATTTGACCGTCTGATCCACGACTCAAAGACACCAGGAAGTATTAAAATTAAGTTACGGATATAAAGATTTTTCGATTGGATGCCCGAAGCCATTTTTCTTCCTAAGAAGGGCTTCAGATAAAAAAATAATATTTCGTCAATACCGGTTCGAGCTTGTTCGTGAGATAACAGTTTTCTTGCACGTGATATGAAATCATTATCACGCGATTTGCCTGAGTCTCAACCCATATTATCACTGAGGTGTCAACTGCTAAGCGTCCAAATTACTTTGGCAATTGTTAATTAGAAATAACTCGATTAACTTTCCTAGCGCGACCACAGCCAGTAATGTTCACACTTTTTCACACGATAAGCAGTCACCCCTCTCCTAGAAAAATTTCCTGCTAGTTGAGAGAAAATAAATCATATTTTGTCTTGTAGTCAGATTCTCTCGGTGAAAGTTGTTCCGAGGGCACTATTGTCGATAGCAGTGACCGACATTTCATCTACCTTGCGCGTCCTTGTGCGTCCCTGCGCGTATCAAGTCGTCTTCGAAATGAGGAGTTATTCAGTCAAATGTTTTTGTCTGGTTCGTGAAAGCTGATTGATAAGCTTCTCGATGGTGCTTTTTGACATCAAACCTTGTAGGAAAAACAAATGTAACTCATGATAGAAAAACAGACGGAAAAAAGTTGTAACATCAGTAGCGATCTAAAGTCTGTCACGGCAAACCTAATGACGCCCGCGTCTGGTCAGAGGCTGCACATACAACAGCACATGGACTTGCGAAACAAAATGGCGGTTTGACTTGTTATGAAATGGTTGTTATTTTTGTTGGAAATTCAAGGCAGTCATATCCAGTCTACCGCAAGAAATAATGGGAAAGACTAGAGCAAAGAAGCGTTCGTCATATCGATACAGAGCCACAGGTCTTCCAAGTGTGAAAGAGGTGGAAAGTGAAGCTCAAAAGGATGCTGGTGTCGGTGTCAAAACATTACCTCTGGTCGAAAAGGTTAGCTTTTATTTCTTACAGGGAAGACTGGCAGTTTTGCTAGTTTTCACCGAGAGGTAGGCTGGTAGAGAAGGAAAATATTTTAAAAATATATGATGCATAATCTCACACAGGTGTTAAAAACTCAAAGAAATACTTGCGACATGAACATAAACAAAGCTGAACATATGATGTACTGTGAGTGTAAAAAATCATCTGATCTAACAGACTGTGTGTTAAAAGCGGTACTTTGAAAATATTCAGTGGCTTTCACTTACTACCTTGTTCACTCGTAAAATAAAGTAAGTAGTAAACAGTTTTCGCGATAAAATGCAGCGTAAAAAAGCTAATTTGACCTTCTTGTGATGGTGAATTTCACTTATTGATTCAAGAAAGAAGTCATCTAGGATTTAGATGCTGTGCTTGTGTAAAAAAGAAAAATATCTTTAAGAATTAACTTAATTTTTCAAGGACAAAGCAAAGGGGTTTCCAAAGGTGTATGTCATCCCTCTTTTTGTTTTGGAAAAGTGATGTCCAATGTTTGTTAAAATAGAGCATCCTGAGATACCTTGCAAAGCCATGTAGCATGCTTACAACACTTTTCACCCTTCTGGAAGTTCCCTTGATCTTGCTGATGTAATTTGGTGGCTTGACATCATGACCAGAAGTTTCATCATGAGCCAGGCTCTGGGCAAACTGACCATCTCTGAACAGAACTTTTTCCAGCTGCCTGGTCATGTTTTTTATAGTTGTATCCCAGCTAAGCAAAACCCCATGGGCCTTGCAGATTTTCTACCCAGGGACCTGTTTCTCAAAGTCCTAGTAACTTAATGGGTCCAAAGCCATATTTTTACAATTAAAATTTAAAGAATCACAAAGAAGGTTGTGGCTCCCCAACCAGACCATTTTGTTTCTTTAGCTGATTATTTTATTGTATAATTTTCAGACTTTTGAAACCCCCATTTTGATAAAAACAGAAGAGCTTTATGGCCTTTAAGTTATGGTACTTTTGAGAAATGACCCTCAGGTGTCATATTCTCATGCCCTCCTGTTAAAATATTATCAGAAACCCTGCATGACTAGGTTATGGACTGTCCACTTACTGGACAGGCTGGCTATGAAGGTTACCGATGTAAAATTTTTGTTTCTTTTTTCATGCATAACAGTTGACAAGTGCTGTTTCTACTGAACGTGAGTGTGCATGTGCCAGTCTGGCCAACCTTGTGTTTGACCATGCAGCCATACCAGCCCTTTTACAACAAGATATTGTGAGAAGGCTTGGCCCCTTGCTGATTGATGATAATAGAGGAATTCAGGAAGGGGCTGCCGGTACATTAAGGTACAGTATACCTGTCATACCCTCTTCTAGACACACATTCTTGATTAACTGCCATTTTTTAGGTTTAAAATTGAGAATCATTTAACTTTTATCCTGAAGCGTGGAGCTTTTGAATTTCTTTACAAAAAAAGATTGTGTTTTGTCTTAATGTAGAAATCTGAGTATTTCTGGTGGTCCCGAGGTGTGTATTAAAATGGTGAAACAAGATGTCATGACTCCACTTACCACATTTGTACAGCAGGTATGTATGCTATGTGATCATATTTCCTTTTTTTTTTTTTAACTTGTAGAAGATTATTATTTTTGTCATTTCAACTAGTCCCATAAGTGCACCATGCAAAATTATTTATAGTGCCTTTCTGTACATTACCTTGGTTGCACTCAGTCTCGGTATTCCTGCCTGATATGGAATGAACAGTGAGAGATTTTTTTTTCTTCTAGTCTCTTGATTCGTTGGGTGCCATTGACGAGACTCTAGGGAGTGAGTTTAAAAGACAGTCTACAAGCTTGGCCATCCAGGCTGTAAGCTTATTATGGAATCTTTGGTGAGTATAGATTCCACGCAACAATCAGCATAGCTTAAGTCACTCAATTTGAAAATGAAAAGAATCAAAATCCATTAACCCTTCAACTACCAAGAGTGACCAATGCCTAATTTCTCTGTATTTCATCACTGCTGAATCAAACATTAAAGTTATGGGAATATTGGAATTGACTACCCACTCAAAAAAGGTTTTGACTGTTTGACTAATTCTCCTCATCAGTATCATAGGAAATGTATAGAGAACAGTAAAGAGAATATGCATACTGATATTAGGGTGTGAAGGGTTAAGTGTAATTGTCATTATTATACATATATGGTGAAGATCATCTACATGTTAGTATTTAGTTATTGAAAAAATGCAAGAGTAACTGTGTTGTTTTGTTGTTTAAGTTTTGCAATGATTCATAAATTTCTGAGAATCACAGACTAAAAAAGTCACTTAAAAGTGCATTTGTTGTCTGATACCATTGCTGAGAGAAAGAAAGGTTGCTAAATATTCAGCTAAAGGTCTCCAAGAATTTCACATGAAACTAACCCTTTGGATATATTTTTTTGCTGACATTATTTTCTATAGTGAAAGCAGTGATGTTGCTGTGGATATTTTCAACAAACAGGGTCTTTTACCATACCTTGTTGCAAGCCTGAAGACTGAAATTTACCCAACAAGTGTTGCAATTCCAGCAGGTCAGCTTCTGTACTGTTACTACTATGTCTGTACTGATTTGTGTTGTGCTGCAGTTAACTCCAAAAGTCCTGAGAGTGATTTAAGTCAAAACTGTCACTTTTATATTAAAAAGTCATGATAGGAAAATTACCAGTGAGGAGAATAACAATCTTTTTTTATCCAAGGACCTGATGTATTGAGTAATTCTCTCTTACCACTTCTTCATATTGTCTTATTTATTTGTTAAGAGAATATGGTCACATTTAAGATAGCACTTTCAAGTTGATAAGCTAGTCTATTCTTATAACTTTTTTTTCTAGGTATTGAACTGATAATTATTATTAAGAGAATATACATGTTGATCACCTGGGAATTGAAGCATAAACAGACTGGTTCAATGCCATTACTGATACACAACTACTTTGTATGTGATGCTTCTTTAAAAGTAAGATTGTGTTAATTTCTTATCTTTTTTATTAGCTCAATGCCTTCATACTGTCACTGAAGACAATTCTTCAGCTGCCCAGTGCCTTTGTTGTTCAAGTGACCTCATGAAGACCCTTGAAAAGTCACTCATGGCTGATGGGTCTTCTAGTGACATGCTTCTGTTAAAAGTTTTGACTGCAGGTATGTTTTCTGATAATTGGGCTGAGTTACAATGTTTTTTAGATTATTGGGTGAATGTTCATGATGCATTGGAAATTGGATAATTCCCCAACTATCAACCATTGTATTCTGGCTAAATTTTGATAGCCTAAACTAATTTTTATCTTGACAAGGAAATTTTTATCTTATTACTTTGCGTGACCACTCTTAAGCAATTAAATTTTGTAATGAAACTATGTGTGCTATTTTAAAATGGTGAATTGCAAAAATTGAACACTTGTTAACTATTTGCTGGACAAAATATTAATATTCAAACACTGTAAGGAGTAATAACACATCAGTTACTTCTGGAAGTTAAAATTTCTGACAATTTCAGCTAGAACCTTTGGTTGATATGAATAACTACTGCTGCTTGTAATGTAAATAGTTGTGCTTCAGCTGCAAGCATTCTGTAACTCAGCAGATGTTTCATGATCATGCAGGTGTGTTGTATAACATCCGCTACAGTATTCCACCAGTCAGTTTTCATGAACTCCTTCAGGCTGTTGTCAAAGTCTTGGCCCAAGTTCTTGATGTGAACTGTTTTGATGTCATCAATAAACTCCTTCCAGAGCCCACCAAGGTAAGAGGAAATTACTGTTTTGTAAGTGTTGAATTTCACAGATTTTTTTTGTCACAAGTTTTACCTAGTCACCTCTGATTTTCCAGAGTAATGCCTCACCAATTGAGCTAAGGAGAATTATTGTAGTGCTATTTAACCCTTTAACTCTCAGGAGTGATTAACAAGGAACTTCCCCCCATAATAATCTAAACATTATTCAGAAAATGGGTGATGAGAATATTCAAACTTATCAGGTTTAAGTTGTTATCTTGATCTAACACCAAATTCTTCTAACCTATTTTCAAGGAAACACATAGCAGCTAGAGGAGAGAATTAACAATCAGATCTTGGGAGTTAAAGGGTTGATCCTTTACACTCTACCATCCGTCTGCATTTTCTCACTACTTTTCTCTGTACATTTCCTAAGATGCTGACAAGGAGAATTTGTTTTAATAATCAAGAGCTTCTTTAGTGGGTGATCATTTCCTTTGTTCTCATGACATTGATGTGTGATTCAGAGGTCATATTGTAGGGAGAAATTAGATGGTTGTCACTCGAGGAGGTCAAAGGGTGAAGGGGAAAAAACCTTATTTCTTGAATGGTTTCTTTGTTAGATTGAAGATGTACAGATGCTGTTGAATGCCCAGCAACTTGCTTTAGAAATTCTCTCAAACATGTGCTGCCCTGAGGGTAAGTTTTATACTTGATATGCAATTATTTATAAAATGTTAATTGGTTTATTCATCTGAGGTTTGTCTCAGAACATATGGATGTTAAAAAGCTTAGCAAAAGACATGCCATCCCATTTGGTGTTTTTAATGGGCAGGGGATGGTAGGTTTTGTTTTCTTTCATCTCAGAGTATGGTTATTATTTGTTTAAACAAAAGAAGTAGGAACAGAACTGGTGTGAAAAATTGTTAAACCAACAAAAACTTCGAACCACAACACATGTACATTTTGTATCAGCTTACAAAGAGGTTTTGATCAAATTCTTTTGGCTAACTATTTTTTTAATGAGCTTAAATATTCACGTAGTTATTCAAGTAAAGTTACTAAACTCACCTACGTTGTCATGTGACTTAAACTCACTTGTGTATACTGTACCTCAAAGGCCTCCAAGTATAAGTGTGCGAAAAATTCAAAATATAAGATTAGAACTAAATCATTTTCTAAGTCTTTTAATTTAATAATCATCCTTCCAAAAAAAATAGATAAAGTGTCTTATTGTTGAGTATCATATCAGTAAGGGAATGTATGGAGTGAGGTTGATCCATACATCTCTTCCTGTAATCACATTCACCAACTGCTGATGCTGAAGGCCATTATGAGGAATACTGAAATAATACCCATCAGGACAGACAGGTTTAGCATAATGCCCTCTCACGGCACTCGTCGCCCAGATGCTGGCATTTTTGTTTGATTGACAAGCAAACAAATGGTTTTCTTGACAGTCGCACAGATGCCATCTTTCGGTCTCCCCACGCAACACTACACAGGAAGTGTCGGCCAGTGGCTGTGATGGTTCACCTTCAGCCCATGTGAACACAGCTGTGGCAAGCATAGCAGGGTTGACTTGATCTGCGGCTGGATATGTCACTCCACACTTCATGTACCTAGAAAAGTCCTGAATTACACCTGTTTCTTTGGGACCATTCCAAAAAAAGAGGTATTCTGTACTGTCGCAGTACACTCTGGACGGCTTATCGGGATTAACAGCAGAACAATTAGGTCTGGCAGCGAAGGAGTTTCTTGTCTGCTCAATCCAATATCCGGCAAAAATGTACTCACCGCCATGTTGGTCTCCGAATCCGGCCAAGACAACAGTTTTGTTGATTTCCCTCAGTTCTTTCATGGTCGGCCACCTTCCTTGAAAATATTTCTGGCGCTCGATTGGTGTTAGTACTTTATTTCCTAGGTACTTGGCAATTGGACCATTAATCAGCTGGTCATGGCCTTGGGTGTGACTGGCCCCATCCTCAAAGTATATACGAATGACCTCCTGGTAATTTTTTGGCTGGTGCACCCACTCGCCAATTTCTTTTATGCCTTGTTCAAATTCCCTGTCCCACGGTGCACACCCCCGGTACGCCTTATCGTCATCGTGACTCATCAACATTTTGCCGAAACACCACCACGGGTCGATTTCAATACCCCGCGCTCCCATGTTAAGTAAATCCGTGAAACTGAACTCCTGATTGGCTAAATCCAAGCAAAGATGCCGGTAGGGGGGTGGCCAGGGGCAGTTGTCTACATAACCATACCCGTCGGCTCGGTCATTGAAGGCGTTGTGCACGGAAACCATTTGAATCTGATGGAAGGGCTGGTCGATTTGAATCTCTCTTTGCGATTTTAGAGCGAAAGCAAGCCAAGGCGAAATACGAGCTGTCCCCTTAACGCACCTGCCGTGATAACGGCATGTACAGTTTGCAAGTTTGCTCAGTTGGTCGCATTCTTCTTCAAACGGTCGAATCTCTTTGAAATCGCCGAAACTAAACTTGCCCCTGTTCAAGTTTTCCTCTTCAAGCGAATGATTGGCGATTTTGACCTCAAAGGAGGCTTCTGTAAGGAATTTGTCGCCTTCCGAAACCAGAACATGAAACCAGTAGTGCGTGTCCTTACGTAACTCTTTTAAATCAAGGATCTGTCGAAGGCGGAAAATTCTGTTCGAATTCTCGCTGTAATTCTCGACAGCAATTTCGGCTGCTTTGGCCAAAGTGAATAGTGTCCTTGGTGTGTGGAGAAACTGCTTTAAGGGACTGGATATAGTGGGCCGGGCGAAATAATCCACGTACTCTTTAACTTCCATATCCGTTGCATCTTGATCGACGAGAAACCGAACTGGCTTGAATTGGTCATTTGAGGAAGAAGATAAGTTTATGAGAATCACAAAAGCTGTGAAGGGATAGAGGAGTCCAGAACAGAATCTTTGCATTGCCATCTTATGATCATCTACAATCTGAAATTTAAGTTTGAATTTCTTTCAGTTTTCGGGCTAACTGATCCTGGTGTGATTTCCTCGTGGGAGGCAGACACAAAAGTAACGCAATTTTTAACTTATGAATAAACATCACTTTCTTGATTTTTTTTTTCCACGGGTTATTGAATTTCTACACGGCAGAAACTTTTGCCTTTCGTAGATTTATTTTATAACTTATATAAGAACACAAGAGTCCTCAATTCACTGGCTCGTAATACTAATGGTTACTTAACCTTTAATTCCCATAAGTGATTAAAAGTTAACTTCTCCTTATAATACTCGTTAATTATCCAGTAAACTGGTGATGAGAATACTCAAACTTTAAAGGAAGAGGTTGTTATCTTGATCAAACACTTAATTCTCGTCACTAATTTTCAAGGAAATGTATAGCAGTTAGAGAAGAGAATTAACAATCAGATCTTGGGAGTTCAAAGGTTGACTGAGTCGATTATAGTATCGCAACAGTATCGCTCGGTCACAGGTTCAAATTCTGTTCAATATTGCCAACATTTTTCAGGGTACTCTTTGCAATTTCATTACGCAACGTAATGAAACAAACCAACCGTTTAGGGTATAGAATGTAAAAATAAAAAATAAAAAACGGAACGAAACAGAAATGAAGGGCTAAACATCTGCCAGTTGTTTTCGCCGTCACTGAATTTTCGCCTTCATTCCAGACGAGAGCTATTGCATAACAATGGAGACTAGAGACGTCATTCTGAATTTCCGTTTTGTCTCGGTTCGGTGTACAGTTAAAAAATTAAGGAAAATATTCGAAACTCGATGTAACTGCGTATTTACTTCATATTTGATAACCCATGTAGTGTTTCACGTACCGGCGGATGCAGCACAACAGTTTCTCTCGACACCTCTTTGCCTCAGTGAAGGAGATAAGCGTTAGAAGCTTGCTGTGTCACGCCATCGGCAGATCTTTACCATCAGTTTTGGCAACTCATTCAAGAGGTTCGAAACACGGTCAGGAAGTGAAAAGAGGAAATTAATTCCAGACTTCACTTTCTAAAGAGTCAGTTATGAATTTAACGCCTCTTCTTTTGCAATCGAAAACAAAGGTCAGAACCCAATGTCAGATGTAAAGTTATGATTTAGTGTTGAAGCTTTGCATAATTATTCTCATGTTTAAGTTTAAGGCCGGTATCTGTCCAACATACATATCAGATATTTTTAATCACGGCATCTGTCTATACAACTTGACGAATTGAATACAGTAACTTACGGATAGCACGGTATTAACCTCCCCCGCAAAATAAAACGGAAATGTTTCACTTAGGGGGGAGGGTGAGGTTACGGCTACGCGTAGACTATACAGTGTCAAGAATATCGGGCCCTCGCTATGGAATAGACTACCAAAAGACGTAAGAGCTATAGCCAGTCTTAAAGAATATAAAACGAGGGTGAGACGGTTAGATAAGTCGAGACTTAAGAGTGAAGAATGTGGAGCTGACTACCTTTAATGCACATCGTAGCTTAAAAATGTAAATATTGGCAATAGTATTTTTATCTATTGCTTAACTTGTCTTTTTACTCAACGTTTACAAGTTGGTTTCTTACTCCTACAGTGTCCCCAGTTTACAGTCATGACTCATAATTAAAGTTATTATCTTATCAGATAGTCATATGGTTTACGGTATGTTTCCTTCAGGTTTGCGCTTAAGTTAGAAAAACACACTTGCACACGAACACACACGCACATAACGTAAACCAAGTTAACGGTTTGTGATTACCGTCACCCTAATGCTGGCCTCAGGGTTCAAGGTTACTTTCTAGGTCTAGCCCTTCCTGCTTGCAAATTATCGCTGAATATATTTTTCTCCTTGCAGATTCTAATGACGACGAATGGGAAGATGTAGATGACTGTATCAGCTTGGACTCAGCTGATGAAGAAGAAGTCCCACAAGAGGCAGCTCAATATGATGTCGACATGGTTAGAATTTCCGCGGTTGTGCTACAATGATTATCGAGAAAATGTGTAAATTTTTCTTAACTCAACTGGGCAGAGAACAAAGCAAAGATGGCATCTTTTAAAAATATGGATACACATTTTGTGTCTTATAATTATTTCTGTTTTTGTTTCTGTGTAGAATTCTGAAAGTTTATCCACGGAAATGATCAACGCAATTGTCACGCAAGGAGTTCCAAAAAGGGTAAGTTGAATTATTATTATTATTTTTCATGAAAGGATGTTTATCTTGGGATTAAGTTTTTTGTTAATACTGAATTTTGGAGCAGTTTAACTCGACTTGGTAATATAATGAAGACAATAATTATCACCGAAGTTTTACATAACAAAGAAAAGTGTGGCCATTCAAAAGAGTTCGGAAGGAAAGCCTTTTTTCAGCTGAATTTTCTGCAAGTTTTGGAGCTTGATCGTCAGATGTTTTTAGGTCGTACCCCTGTGGGCAGAGGGCTACAAAAGCGTAGGGCAGGGGTGAGGGGTTTATTATATAGCAGAGCGGTTTGCAATTGAGTATCGAAAAGAATCTGAAAATGCATTCGTTTTGCCTACCTCGCTCTTTGATTTGATGAAGAAAACTGGCGCTCGACCAATCAGATACAAAACTGAAAACCATCGTTAATTGCTCACTCGCCGAAGTTATTTCTCATCAGGTTCTTTCGAAATGTTCATTTGGTGAAGCGACTATGTATGAAGCTTTGAGTGCTCATGCTGACGGAGAGAAGCTGCTTCACATGTAAGGCCCCTAACTATGAATTACTTGCTGTTGTTAGTGATTTTAAGTGATATAACTGCAAATATACCCATGCCTTTGTTTTAGAGCGAATGAGAAATTCAAGCACTGTATGAGGTTGTTACACAGCATCTTAATGCATTTGCTTGCCGTCTACTCGTGAGGCAGAAGCCTTGAGCCTATTCCGTACTCACACTCTAAACGCTCTGCAGTGTTGTCGTCCCGATTTCGTTTTGAAGAACCATCGTTAGTAGGGTTTATAGTCAAGTCGCCCGAGAGTCATCTCGCCCGAAGTCATGTCGCCCAAAACCTGAGTCATGTTGCCCGAAATTTTAATAATGTCGCCCAAAAAAAAGAGTCAAATCGCCCGAAGAAACAAATACTAAAAAGATCAGAATTTCAGACTGGTGTCGTAGATGAATCTAGTCAGTTTCCAAAGAAAAGATTGTAATAATTCAAGCTAAATCAAGCGCGAGAGAGAGATAGAAACAGGCCTTTGTTATGGCCTGGGGGAAGCAGGATTTTTTTTAGGGATATCAGATGGTTTTCAGCTGGGAAGGGAGGGCGATCAGTCGTTTGCCAACAGAATATAACGGGGGGACCTGTAGAAAATTGACTGAGAATTACATGGAGATCACAAGAATATATTACAGGGCCTCAGGGGGATCAGGTAAATTTTAATGTGACACAACCAAAATCCTCTGACCCCGACCCCCCCGGGGAATAACAAAGATCGGTCTCTCAGATAGAATCTCTCGTAGCATGTTAACCTTGCAAAGTTAATATTTTCTCTTGTCAGATTAAGCACAGTACAAGCGAGGGCATTGATTTGCCTTAATAACATTGTGTCAGCCTTGGATACAGACCTGCTGGGGGGAGATGAAGCATTGGGACAACTTTGGAATTCGCTTTTCTCTCTAACCTTTACAACAGACAGTAAGTGCGGAGGAAAAAAAAGTATGATGGCTTTTGTGATGTGTATTGCGAGACAGAACAATCAAACTAAATCAGGTCTACGAGCAAGCTTCCTTATATTCGGTTTCGTCGAGTATACACCAGTAAGAGAGAAAATGGCAAACTTTTCACCGTGTGACAAAAACTTAGAACCAAAACCTAAACTCAGTGTTCAAATAACCACTTCCGCCTCACAATAACAACGGTAATTTAAACATTGTCTGTAAAAGTTCATTCTTCCTTTGACGTCTCGCATCTTCCGTTCCTCCCTTCATTCTAGCCAAAGTATTTGTTTCCCGCGAGGAAGACTTTTTAGAAGCCGCCACAGGAGTCCTTCGATCAATTATGGATAAAATGTCCTCTGTAAAAGAGCCGCAAGTGAGTATTGGGTTGGGTTATGTTAACAGTGCTAATACCTCCCTCCCCAAGGGCGGGGGGGGGGGGTGTGGGGTGTGGGGTAAGACAAGGGACGTTTGTGTCACCAACGTCTCCAAACCTAGACCTCGGCAAGGTCAAAATCTGCTCGTTCCCCTATCATGTTTAAGGCTGAATAAAAGATGGCATTGCAGCCTCGAGGAGCCATTTGCAGTATATTCAGACAGAATATGTGGAATTAGCCCTAACCCTTAGCAATTACTGCCCATGGACATCCACGCCCTGTTCAAGTCCTCCAGAAAAACATCCTGTTCAATACGGTTACCAATAAAATGGAACGTCATGTTTAAGATTTAAGACTCTGAAAACCATACTCTTGTGGGCGGTGCATGCCTGTCAAGCCCAAATGTGGGAGTGTCGGTAGGATGAGCATGTCACTTTATCAAACCTCTTTAAGGCTAAAAACTGCGAAATGAGCTGAGCTAAATATGTTCAGTTGGTGACGAATTAGAGTGAGGGAAACGGACTGGTTGACAGAACTATCTTTCAAATACATATTGGAGTTTGATGTATCCTTTAGACTTTGCCATAAACTTCACCAACGTCTGTTTGGAATCTGGGATATATCGGATTTTGTACCTTTATAAATTTTTGTCACCATTTTTGTTATTATTATCATTATTTAACAAAAATTAGGGGGTTTACCGGTACTCCAGACCCCCTTCCCCCCCTCCCACACCCTTCAGTTACACATAGACTCTGATATTTTTACAACTGGTCAACTATGTTGTTCTCGTATCTCTCACAGTGCATCACGACTGAACATGTGACAACACTGTGTAGAATCACGGCTGACACGTCATGTGAAGCTGCTAAGGTCAAGCTGCTAAGCATCCTGGGAATCATTGGCAAGATGGCTGGCAAGAAGGACAACACTCTCGAGGTCCTAAAGGTACGTTGGTTTTTTTATTTCCCTTCTCAAGGCTATCATTTTGAACGTCTAGCGCATTCAGCATAATGTACGAAAGAGTTCTGGAAACATGTAGCTGTTGTTGATATCTTGCTTGAAAAGAAACTTAAGCCAGTGGTGTTACCCAGAGCAGAAGGTGCTATTTCAACTTAATGAACTTCTTAAAATGCCATGTACCAATTCATCTTCAAACATTGTGCCTCAAAATTATTGTTTGATTGTTTGATAACTTCATTTATAAACGGTTACAAGTTCCTTCCGCATAATTTGCAGGTTAAACATCTAATTCTTCCTAGCTCATTTAACAAATAAATGAGATAAAATCTATCATGTCGAAAGGTTGCTATTCAAAGATGCCGTTTCTCATTCGAAGCTGTGGTGACGCTTTGTGTACACAATGGAAGTTTGCAAAGAACCACACTTTTCGATTCCAACTCTTATAAGATTTGATGGATTACATTCCAATTTTTTTTTAAAAATCCTTCTCGTTCTAGTTGATCTCATGATCATTCACTTCTGGGCAATTTACAGATCCATATTTCGAAGATTCAGTCGTGATTGCCTTCCTTGGGACTCTTATGTTTATCAATCATAAGTTCTTCACGTTATTTCTTGTTTCAAAAATTCTGATTGCAAAGATAATTTGATTACTGTTGTCCTTTCAGTCCCTTGGTGTCGTGTTTCGTGACATCATTGTCGGTGATCACAGTTTATGGTTGATATCTGAAGCGCTGGACGCCGTCTTTGATACGTTTGCGGACGGACCGTTGGTCAACACTGCTGCAGATTCAGTTGGCCTTATGCCAAACTTAGTGGAGCTGGTACCAGTCCTCAAGAGCAGGGTAAGGAGCGGTTTGATTGGTCAATCCGAGAATGACTATTTGTGATAGTGTTTCAATTGTCAAATGTTAACCATTTTTTCCAGTTAACGGGAATTTTCAATCTTCAAACCCAAGCCGCTCCAAAAATTGATGATAACAGTAACAGTAACTCAATATGATATGAAGAAGCTCTTTGAATGAGATTATTTGAAATTGCAATCGAATGCGTGCGTATTTTCTTGAAAGCTTCCTGTTACTCGTTTCTTCTTTAGATAAAGACTGAACGAAGAACTCTGGGAGACCACTTCCCTGTGATAGATGCTGCGAGGGTAAACCTGACCAGATTCATAAAATATAAATTCAAAGGCCATTAGGAACTTGGTGGCACAAACGGCCAGCTTGCCGGTTGTACGGCGAGGATCACACTCTGATGATATTTGTCTACCTTCTACTCTATACTGATATCAACTACCAATTTAACACGTGCAGACATCACGACCATACACTAAACACGTACAGTTGCTTTTCCAGAAAATCCGTTTGGATTCAACTTCTAGGGATCGGCAATCGTGGAAACATTCTTTTAAGACCAATTTTTTTTGGTCAAAATTTAGCTTCATTTGACGACAAGTCGTCACGTAACATGAAAAAGTGGCAACCTACGACTCTTCTCTCTCTTCGATTTATGTTGTTGTTATATTTTGCAAAAGAGTGTTTTTTGCATAAGACAATAACGTCACAACATTTATTGAAAGAAGGAGGAAAGGAAGGCACTATGTGTGCGCGTGAATGAAGAATGACTGAAAATTTTTAAACATATTAATCACTCCGCAATTGAAGGACCTGAAACCTTGTTAATTTATGGCTCTACTAAGTAGAGACGGGTTCCAATGAATTTAGAAAGAGGGTTTTTGTGTTATTTTAAGTCTTACGATATAACAAATCTACTATATCGTGCTCTTCTCCAATATTTTCTTGCTTATTCAAATGACATACAACAATTCAATATGATCGTTCGTCTGGTGTACTGAATGTAAATAGTAATATGAAGTCTACTTCATAAATGCTGAAATATTCATTAATTCTGTTCCTTTGCGTCACTGGTAAACTCCAAATTTTGGTTACTAGAAATTTTGCTGAATTTTTTTCTAGATTTGCCTACGATCTACTTTTCGTTTCTCTGTTCTTTGTGTTTCCCTTTTTGTTATCAAATTGTATCACCAGCCTTTTGAAGTATCCTTGGGATTGATCCTTATTCATCACCTGTGGAAGGGGGGTCGGACGATTACAGTTTGTTACGACGAAATTTACCTGATCCTCCTCTAAGGCTCTGTAATATCCATATGATCCCCTCTGACTGGTAGTCATATTTCTTTAGTCCTTCCCCCCCTTTATACTCTGTTGGCGACGACTGATTTCCCCTTCCTTCCCCCTTGAAAAATCATGTTATCCCCTTAAAAATCTTCCTCCACCCCACCCCCCCCCCCCCGCGATAAGAAAATAACTAGTTCCCCTAGGGGCTATAAAAGAATATCTTTATTTTGAACATACCATTACTTGCTGATTGGTTACAATTATAGCTTCGTGTTTTGTGCTTCGAAAATGGCGTCACGACTCCAGTCATCACTAGACGTGGTGGTTTCGGAACTTTCGGGACGCCTTCGGGAGCCTTTAGACACGGCCGAGTTCTCTACGAAAACCGTCGTACTCTCAAGACTAGATTGCCCTTAGACTAAAGATTTTTCCCTATTAGATTAAAAACTATAATTCGCTTTTAATTTGAAGTTACTGAGAAGCTCACACAAGAACAAAGTACAAACTCTTCAGAACACAGTTTGGTTTTTTAGTCTTTATACTGCGTCATAAAATCTTGATGAAAAGTTTTCAGTCTTTCAAACATAGGAATAAACTTGTCTTCTGAAGGAAGAATGGTAATTCTGTAAAAGATAATAATTAGAAAATAAATGGAGGGAAAGGTAAGTTTAAGTCCAATTTCAAAAGAAGAGTAAATTTTGACGCCGCAAGTAAGCCTGATAGTCCGTACGTGGCGCGCTATCGCGAAGTCTGGAAATATTTCCAGCAGGAAAAAAGCCATCGCTTATCAAACTGGGGGTGAGACAATCTGCATAAAAAAAGAAAGAAAAATGGAAAAAAAGTGGGGTAGCGGAACGTGCCCTAAAGGCCTGGCATAGGTGCTTGCCATTTTTGGCTGCTCCATTCCTCTATTGTCTCCGCTGACCAAGGGCTTCAACGAGCTGAATTTTTCGCTCAATCTGAAAACACAATACGCATCATATCTCACCGAAAGTAGTAATGATTACCGCTCCCGTTCATGTCAAAAGAGTGGCCTGGCACCAAATAGCTTCCTGTTTTCTCCAAAGCCCTCCAACAGTAGAACTCGTCAGGAGACATTCCTTGTGCCTAAAAGGGAAAAAGATAACTGGTTGTATAATCGGGAAGATAGAATCCAGATTCGATCGACTGGTAACAAGTTCAAGGTGATACTGCTTAGAAGCAGGAAATGTATATAAGGAGCAAATCATGATCAGCGTCGGTCTATTTGAGGGTCATTCAAATACTCGATTACAATTTCGTGCTTTTTATCTTTGCGGCAGTTCGAAGATCACCATTCATTATTTTGAACATTTTAATGCTTGATAATTTTCACGTTGATAGTAGACGTGCCACGCGCTGAAGTGATGTTGACATGCAATTCGAAGTTGCTCAAGAGGAAAGAAATTTTGACCCCCTTGGGTGTGTCTACACTTACGTGGGCATTCTTACTCAGAGCTTGTGATGTTACCTTTGCTTCTTCAATAGCTTTTTTCGGCAGTGTGATCCTCGGAAACGCGTATACTGCTCCTCTTACTTCATTACATTGGACCCCATCCATAGAGTTGAGCATTTCTGTTGTCAACTGTGCCTTCTTCTTGTGAGAATCCAGTACAGTCTCTTTTTCCTTTGAAACGAACATAAATGATACATAATCAACACAATTTTAGGTGTATAGCCAATTTGTTCTTCTGGCGCGACTTTTCATCCTGCGTGACACCCAACACTTACGTTACTCGAGTTAAGTTTCCTCAAGAACGCTTGTTAGTAAGAAGTTTAGTTTCTTTCGTCAAAAATTTATCGAATTAAAATGTAATTTTGAATGCTTACCTTTAAAAAGCGATCGTAGGATTCATCTCCTGGTTTAGGAGGGTTGCAAATGAGCCCCATGATCACCTTGGAAAAGGAGAAGTTGGCTTAAACTCAAGGATATGTAATGGTGGCGATGGAAGAAGGGAGCAGGAACGGTGGAACTTTCAATCAGCGAAACTTTCGAAGGGAGAGGGAGGGTGCTGAACGCAGAAGATAATGGTCGTTGAAGTTTCTATGGAGGCCATTGGGAAAGTTATTGAGTAAAACGTCTTGGGGAGGGGGGCAGGACTGCATACTTTGACCTTAGCTCTCAACGATCAACCCCTTCCCCACCAATATCAATAAAAAACGTCAGTAAGATAATAATAATGCAAATAATTAGGTCACGGTAATCAGTTTTTTGATGATAACAGCTATGATAAGAATAGTGGCAATAATAGTAATAATAATAATGATCATAACAATAATGATAGTAACAGCAATAGTAGTAAAATATTTTCTTATGCGAGAACGCTAATTGAAAGTATTTTTTTCATCTCTGTCTATACATGTACCCAATTGTTTCTGATTAAAGGTCTTTTTTCCCTTTGCGACAACTGAGCGAGAATAATTTATTTTGGAACCACTGGCCTTTCTCTTAAGTTTTCAATTTCAGCCTTGATTTCGATATACCTTAATATGAATGCCGTTTTATTATCTTAATCGTACCTGCCCAACTGTTGAGGGGCAAGATCTTACACTGAGGTACATTTTGATACGAGCCTTGACTTTTTCACTTAATCCCACAAGCTCTATATATCCACCTCTGAGACCACATCTGAAAGAAATTATGTATTCAATGGCTTTAAAAAATCGAAATTAACAATATCACGCTTCATTATCCAGGATGGAGGTGACAATTACACTACAATTTTATGAAATATTATTGGCGATTTCTCCTTTGGTTGACAACTACTGGTCAAGACAGAGGGGGCATGGTGTTCTCTTGCCGTCCCTGTGAGCCACTGGCTTCCCAACCGCCTCCAGGTGGGTGACGTGACACTCTCCAGCAAATAAATCATCATTCGGTGGACAGAGTAGTTTATTTTGTGGACTTTTATTCGCTGAGTTATTGTATGGATATTACCGCCCTTCAAGCTACTGGTCTACTTTTCGCTCAAGGTAACACGAGTTTCCCTGGTTTCATGTCAATTCAGGTCAACACTTTGTAGTCTATCTTAAGTCTTACATGGAGTAATTATAAACACAAACTTTTTGAGTATACCCATATTGTACACTTACTCTCCAGCATATCCCTTTGCACTGGAATGAAGCGAGATCAGTTGAAAGTTACTGTACTCTGCTCCCAAATCCCTCAGGACTTTCTTACACGAGTGAAACTTGACTCCATCGACATGAATATTGGCTTGATAGACTTCATCGGCGAATAACACTAACTTCTCTCGAGCGCAGAATCTGATGATTTCTTCAATGTTTTCATAAGTCAAAACCTGTCCTAAAAAACAGAAAATTGAATTTTTCAGTGTCTTAACACTTTTTCTTTTCAGGATAAAAACAGTTTTGAAATTTGTCAAATTTACAAAAGTTACCTGTTGGGTTTCCTGGATTAATCAATACAAGGGCTCTCGGGACGCAATGCGGTCTGGCTTCCTCCAACACTCTTTTGAGTGTAGCCATGTTCAAAGCCCAGTTATTATCTTCATCAAGAGGGTAAAATATCTGGACAAAGCATTAAAAATGTCTTAAGTAATGAATCATGATGACATGTATCAGAAAGGTAAAGTTGTTGGAAGTCACCAATCACATTTTCGCAAAGACGTGACGTCACTACACTTTTGGCGGGAATGGAGCCCGGATGCAGCCGAGCCGCGGGCAACACAGCGCTTGCGAAAGTAGCTGTTTATGTAATTCAGATACCTGACATTTAACGAGGAAACCTGAAGAACTTGACAGACTGAAAGAAATTTCGGTGCCTTGGAAGGTTGGTCTCATTCATTTTGCATTTGATGTGTGTCAGTTTTTTGGTACTCTGTCAGAATTTCTATTACGTGTCCGTGTCAGTCATTCATGCTGGTAAATGAATTCATCGGTGTATTGAACTGAATCAGACTAAGCCAGTTGACACCAAATTGGTCATCAGAAAATTTTTTTAAAGCTTAAAGTTTTACTTGCGCCGTGTGAAGTTGCATATAGCAGGCGCATACTACAGCAGCACTTGTCTTTCCACGTATATTTCTGTTGTCTCTACTGAAAGAATTGAATTATTATCAGAAGGTTTTGCATGTATAGGTGTTTTTTCTCTTTTTTTTTTCTTTGTACGGTACATCGGTCGTACACGTCAAAAGGACGCTAGAAGCTTTCAAACACTATTTGTAATCAGTTCTACCCGAAAAATAACTAAATGTTCAGTTGTGGTCATTACCTGATAAGAGTTGTGTTGTAGTAGTCTAGCTTGGTACATACTGAAGCCTGGTATAGGAATCATTACTCCAGCACGACCTGTTACCTCATGAGTCTCAATTTGAACTATTCCCAACATAACCTGGGGAAAATTATTTAAAATTGTATCATGCTCTTAAAGGACTTTCAATGAACAGTATACTTCCTTAATTGTGTTGAACTTGCTCGAGAAAAACCTGGTAGGAAACGTCTTTAGATGAGGTAAACTAAGTATACAGACATCGAACTCGCGTGGGGAAAATTAATCTCTCATTTATAGGATCGATTAATAATCGGTAGTTATATAGCAAGACCTAACCGACAAATAAAGGCACGACAATTAATTTCTCGAAAATCAGTGGTTTTTTCTATACAACACGTAATTTCGTGAAAATTATCCGTATCTTGGTATTGGTAACAACCAACACGAAACTGAATTACATTTGAGAAAATTCACTGACCGGTTCAAGATTTCACTACTCTGAAGGGGAGGGACTTCTTTCATTGACCTAAACGGGGTTTCGCCGCCAAACAGGGTATGGCCTTTGAGGTCTTGAGTGTTTAAGGGTAGAAAATCTTGCCATTTAGTTTGGACAGGATGTGTCTTTGAACTGGAAACCTCTGAGGACCTCTGAGGGGTGTGACAGTTGTCTTCAAAGCACGATATAGATGTGTGGTAGTACGAATTTTCTTAAATCCTATTCTAAAAAGTCTGTCTCAATATGGTTTACGTGGGTCCGATAACAGAAGTACGACAATTGACCCAGTTATTTGTTATTAACAGACCCCGGAATATTTAATCAAGGTCGGGGTTTACCCCACCCAAAATCCTCTGAAGTGTCTCCTGGGTATTTCACTTACTTCAAGTCCCTCGGCCCCTCCATCAGTGAGATATATATCACTGGATACTGCTGGATGGCCATCTCTCTGAGAGATGAAATTGGCGATGTCTTCACGTACGACAGTGATCCCCTGAGTTGAAGTGTAACTACCTGTAAAAGAATTAAAGTGTTTCTGCTATAAATTTGAAATTTATTAAGTTCGGAAACAAGGGCTTACCCAGAAAATTTACAAATATAGGAAGGCGGAGAAATCTTGGCCACAATGCAAGCTCCGTCTTAAGTCCCGCCCTCCACTGGAGGAGAAACCAGGGTGGTCAAAGTTTGATATGATTTGCTGCGAGTAATCAACTAGGAACACTCACTCTGTTGTTTGTAGAGGTGTATAATATTTCACTGCTGTCGAATTCCGTGAGTAGCTTTGGAACGAAGTGCATGAATTGTATAATATGACATGCCACACTAAAAAATGGGTGTCGGGCATGTTGTGCTCCTATATCTTATTTGGTGGAATGATACAAAGGTGAGGATACATGCGGGGTGCTACCTCTAATATGCCAGTCAAACATACAGGAGAGGACCTATTCCTGTTTCCTCCACTATAATTAGAAAACCCTAATTCGTATTACCTATAGTCTGTCCTATCATGTCATCAAGAATTCTTTTCGCCCTTCTTTTGGCATCTTGTGGAAAACGGTCATCATTTTGAAGGTCAGGACACAAAAGAAGTGCCAAAACCTGTGTAAGAATAACACAGTTGAGGCTTGCAGTCATGGCTTTATTTGATTTTCAATCCGCGAGTCAAATGAAATTTATTTCATGATTTAATTTTTTTATTATTATTCTTCCACGGAAACAAGAACCCTTTAAAACTTGACTCACTACCTACGTGTGGCTTGGTAGCTCAGTTGGTAGTAGCGCCTAACTAGCATCAGGTAGGTCTGGGTTCGAATCCCATCTAAGCCGGATTTTTTTTCAGGCTTCATTTCTGCAGTTGCTTAACGGATTCAGTTTTATTTGTGGTTGGTCTGCCTAAATCTGTTTATTTGATTTATCCTCTATTTCAACCACATGGGTAATTCGTGTTGCGGTTGTTTCGCTACAAAGCCGTTTGACTCAATGTCGTGGCCAACTCATAATTCTCTGTGTTTGTCGATCCAGCTGTCCAAATATTCTTCTCTGGTAAACTATTCGATCGTTCCCCCTAAAGAAACTCAGCAATTCAGTTAATTCGTTAGTCCACGAGCTACGCAGTTGTGAAGTTAATTCACCTATCTGTCAGTCAGCTTAAAACAGTGAGTCACTGTCATCGTCAATCTGTCAGTTATTGTAAGACAGTGAGTCATTGTAAATGACTGTCAATCGTTGTCAGCTTGTCGGTTTAAGTCAGTCAACCGTCGTCACTTAGCCAGTCATTTTCTGTCACTGAGTCGGAGTCAGTTTCTCAGTTACCCAGACGGAGAAAATCAATCATTACCTGTATGACAGTCATGGTTAGTCAGTCTGTCTGTGACATTAACTTATTATGTCAGTCGGTTTTCCGGTATGAGTCAGCCAATCGTTCTGAGTCAGTCAGTCAGCCAGGCAGTTGTTCCTTATTCATCAATAATTCATAAGAATATACAGAGTTTTTCACACATCACCTGTCTAAAAAAAGTAATAGGTGGTTGTCCCATTCCCTGTGGATTTCCATAGTGTAATAGAACTTCGGAAAATGGCTTCTTCGCTCCCTGGCAAAGCGAACATGAGAGAAAATAACCAGAATTTAAAAATATCTAGAAAAAGTTTAAGTAGCCCATACACTTCGCAACTATCAGGAAAAGTTCGCTGAGACAATTGTTCCAAGTTTCAGCTTGTTTCCTCAGGGCAAAGCATGCGTTATTGATATCTTGCTGTAACTCGCCACGCCTGAGTGCCCAAGCACGCAAAGCTGCCACGAAGTAATCTTATTCTCACAGACGAACCGTGATATTCTTTACAAATTGAAATGCCCTTTACGGCCGAAACTTTCGCACCATAGTGTGTTGCTGAGATTTCTGTGTCTACATTCCAAGTATCCATCCAAATTTTTCAAATCCATGATTATTACTAGTACATACTATACTTGTACATATATATATATATATATATATATATAACATGGTATAACTTTCCTTACGTGTTTAAGCTCTTGTTGAATTTCATATGAACGACTTTCCAGCCATCCTCGTACTCTATAGTTCACTCTCTTGAACGCCGGGTTAATGCTTTCTTCAGTAAGAATCTCCATGTCAAGGACATACAAAAGTAAATGGTAACAATCGCTATGGATAAACGATGCGACGCCAATTGATTCGGGAGTGAAATAACATCACGGGGCTGTCCTGGTGTACCGTTACACAATCGATATTATGTAAATTCGAGAGATTAGAAGGAGAAAAGAACAATTGATCAACTTTATGATCAATCCCACGTTGCCGAGTTGAAGCTGTCTGAACCAGCCTTTCCATTCGTATTTCCGAGAAGACAACCTTTTTTATTTGTGTACAAACGACAGCTGTTAACAATAAGTGATTATCAATAAGTCTCTACAGTAAAATGCCTGGATTGTGAGGTCACGCAAGAGTGTGCAGATATACAATAACGTTGTTATAGAGCACTGAGCAATCAAATGAGCTAAGAAGATTCTGTCGCGTTGGAATCCTCGTCACGACACAAGACCAGCAGGACGATAATGTGATGCAATCCTTTCCTGCCATTTTATGCATGCGTCGAGTTATGCGAAAATAAATTTAAAATAAATGTACAGTCAAGGGAGAATTAAAATAAAGATATCACGGCTGAACAATTTCTAATCCTGCCGCTCTGACAACGATTTGATGACCAGGCTTATATCTGAATATCTAATTATCTTGTCACGAACAACTTGCGGGCAATGCGATGACTCCGCCATAGGGTCACAATATGGAAATTGGAGGTCACGAAGCTAAAAAATGATGCTCGCAAATTCGTCTTCTTGTATCCTCTCTCGCCCTAAGGAGCGTGAGGAAACTAAATCCTAGGGCAGAGGGTTCATGCTACTCCAACTGAACTGTGTTTACCTAAGAGACCAGGGAAATCGAGGTTTCTGTTTAAGTCTAAGTCATTTAAGAAATAATCAAACTTCTGGGGCGGACGGAAAAGAGAAGCGAATTGGTTATCTTAAGGGACCTTATCCATAAGGAACCTCATCCCTAAGCAACCTTAGCCATAAGGAACCTAATCCATAAGGAACCTTCTACCTTAGGAACCTTATCCATAAGGAAGCTTATCCACAAGGAACCTTGTCCATAGGGAACCCTAAGGAACCTTATTCCTAAGGAACCTTATCCCTAAGGAACCTTGTCCATAAGGAACCTTATCCTTGACCTGTCAATGAAGGATAAGGAGTCACGATAGTTTTTGGCACAAAGGATTCTTATTCCTAAGATACCCTATCCATAGGGATCCTTATTCATGAATAACCTAATCCAAAAGAAAACTCATCCTTAACGGAACTTAGTGCGTAAAGAGTAAGAACTGCAGTTAGCAATACAAAGGAAGCCTGGTCCACAAGGAACCCTATCCTTAACGTAACCATTAAGGATAGGGACTAAAGCTTGCAGGACAAAGGAACCTTATCCATGGGAAACCATATCCATAAGGAACCTTGTCCATAAGGATTTCTATTGCTTGGCGAGATAAACGACTGGTATGATATCTTAAAGTTCTTCCTCTGACTTCGAGTATTTCTTGCCCAAAAAAGACGAAAAAACACAGACATACACACACAAAAGAGGTTTGAGGAATAACTGAATGATTGGCTTATTCGTCAGATAGATCTATAGCCAATTTGATGAGTGACTTTACTTTACAAATAATTCTTCCTTGGAGCTAACTCAAATATACCTGTATCCAGATCGTCGTTACAAACCTGTATAAATGTTTCATACGACTCGTCTCCAGGCTGAGGCGGACAACAAATTAAACTCATGGCAGCCTTAAAAACAGAAAAAAAAAATCAAGCGAGGTTAAGAACATTATTTTGTTCTTCTCTCTTCCTCAAGTAACATTTCACTTTCCCTTCAGTCCTTGCATAGGAGTAAAAAAGCCGTTTCAGTACAGTAGATATATGCACTACTGCGTGGTTTGCTACTTCTCTCCATATGTGAAATCTCATAAAAAGACAACACTCATTGGACGTCCAAACGGTTTGGCATACTCACCGTTCTGTTCCTGTTAAATTGAATGCTTTATCTTGTATTCATTTACATGTTTAAAATTAAGAAACTGGAAATAATACCTGCCCAATGGTCGAGCCACTATTACTAGGCGACATCATATCTCTAAACTGCAATTTGACTGCGTTGCTAAATCCGACCAGCTCAAGATACCCTCCCCTCAAACCACACCAATATAAATAAAATAAATGAAATGTTCCTTGAAGAGAGTGAAAATATTTATTAAAAGAACATTCGCATATCGTCCTTTCGCCCAAATTTGAGCAGTGTAAACCTTATCAATTATTCCTGCTTAGTGGAAAATTGTGGGGTATGGTCAAGTCACACTTTGTGTTCGGTTTTTTTTTTAACATTTCCGAAAACATTGAGCAGTAAACTGTACATTGGTACACGAAATTTTACAATTTCTCATCTTCTTCATCTTGGCGTACCGCAAACAACCTATTAAGTCCCCCTTCATTCCTTGCCTCTTAACGAAAACTTCAAATGAAAACACCGGTTAAAATAAGTGATGATAATATGATTTTGTACAAATAATTATGCCGCAGTGTTTTTCACAATGTGGTCTCTCCACTCACTCGCCATAAAATCCTTTAGAAGCGGAGTTGAGCGACAACAGTTGAAAGTTGTTGTATTCAGGTCCCAGGTCCCTCAGAACCTTTCTGCACGAGTGGAATATAACATCCTTTGTAAAGACTGTTTCCTGATATACTTCATCCGCAAATAAAACCAGTTTCTCTCGTGCACAAAACTTGATGACCTCCCTTATGTTGTCGTAACTTAAAATCTGCCCTGAGTATGAAAGATAGACGAAAAAGGTCATCCTATAAGTATTGATATGGGTGACCAATCACAGGTTAAAGAGACCTCCGAAATGGCGGTTGAACAACACAGGAATTGTAACAACACCAAAACGAGCATCCACTATTTATCAATTTTACATTGTGTCAATAAGCCACGTGTGGATTCTGCCGAAAAGGCAATATTATTGGAAATGTAACAAATATATAAATAAATAAATGAGTAAAAGCAGCCGAGCAGCCGATAAGACAAAATCACGCGTCAAAAGTTAAATTTCCGACAACCTTTCGGTATACTAAAAGAAATAAACTAATTTGTCGGTATCTGTACAGTATATTGTAAAACTATTGTTCACAAGTGGATGATATCTCCCAAGCTACGAAGCGGCGAGCTAAGTATCCACAACTACCACCTTCACCTTGGTGAATAATTGATAATTACCATATGACCCGTGTGACCCCGCGCGCGCAATCCATAGAAAACCATGGTGAAAGCTGACGGGAAAATATTTGGCTCTCGGTCATGACGCACGGACCTCGCTGCGCCCCCTCGCTCGCTGGTAGTCCGTATGTCATGACCTCGAGCCAAATATTGTTCTATGTGTTTCTTTTGGACCATTTTCATTATTTCCATACGTACTTATTTTCCTTTCGGGAGTTTTTATTCTCGAGCATTGTTGCGGCAAACGAACATCAAGACCGAATGAAGAGCCAAGAAAATCGCGACCGGAGAAAATGCCAACCAAACCAGGGGATACGATCAATCTCGAAAACTGTAAGCGAATTAAAAAAGGGACTTCTACAATCGATTGTATTCAATTAAACAGGTGGCGACTTAACAGCGTAAATGCATCTAACATAATAAAGGGACTAATAAATGAACCAAGTGCCACGGCAAACACAAAATATATATACAAAATAAAGACGAAAGAGCTTGCTCGAAACAAGATAAAGGAAAATTATAACTAGAAATAGCCGCCTGACGATACGAAGGCGGTGATTAAATAACACACACAGAGGCATAAGATCATAGCAAGAGAAACGCTACCTTGCATAAATGGGGCAAGCTAAAAGCTAAAAGCTAAAAGTGAATACAAACAAATACAACTTACATATCAGTCCCTATACGCCGGTGGCTTGAAACCAAACTTAAGAAATTAACTTGGGATGAACGCCGGACATGAACAGTGAATAGTAAAAAGGGCGTACGATGCAACAACTAAAAATCAGCGGGAGAGAAAGACTATCCGAAGGAATCAAATGGCACAAAGGCAACTGTAACACAAAGGTCACGCAAATTTAAAGTCACGCATTTACAAGCATAAAAAACCATATTTCCGCTTCACTTATTGACATCAGGTTCATCTCCAACCACATCACTAGTTACCATGGTTACAAACGTACGTCTCACCTGTAGGATTACCAGGATTAATCAGTACCAGTCCTCTTGGTTCACAGTGCGGCCTGGCCTCATCTATGGCTTTCTTCATTTCACCGATGTTCAAAGACCAGTTGTTTTCTTCTTCTAATAATAAGGGATCTGATTAGAAAGATCAGTTTTAGCATAGCAATCATAAGCTGGGTCATTCCTCTTATGGACTCTAATCAGCATCTAATCAATTATCACTTTAATCAATTACGTTACCGAACATATTATGTCATCTTATAATCAACAGGTTTAAGTACCAAAGACTGATTTATGATCAGAATTTGATGAATTTTCGAAAATTTTCCGTCTGCAATGATCTCAGGAAGCTGAGCAGAGGCTTCACTTGGCTTTTCGGAGTGGAGAGGAACATGCAAATCACTTTATCTCAGGAGAATCATACCAATCACTCGCGCGAGCGAAAGTTTCAGACGAAAACAAACGACCATAGATTGAGATTCCAAGGCGGTCAAACAGCTACAAAGCTGAAATATGTTTTGTTTCCAATTATGTCGAATAAGGAAGGCAGAGAAGCCTGAGTTAGGGCGTTGGAGTATTCAAAGCAAGCTGCAAAGAGCACTTACCAGTGCCATTTCATGCTTTATTTCGTAAGCGCGAGCATCGACCCATCCTCTGACATTATGGGCTCTCTGGAACACTGGATTGATGATTTTGACAGTCAAGATTTCTCGTGCTGCCATTTCTATCTGAAGTAGATGAGAATCCACTGAAATCTTTTCCGTCAATTTAGCCTCAAACGGTGACTCGATTTAGCCCTTCGGTGTAGTAGTATGTTTTCAGTCACGCAAAATCTGATATAACGCAATTCTTTAGGGAGCACCTAATGCAAAGCCGCATCTTGCGTGACAAAAATTGAGTAATATTTGCATAACCAGCCATAATATATGCACCTGTGCTCTTTTCGGCTCGGTGCTCTAGTCGGCATTTCCCCGAGAAGGGATTGTACTGCAGTAGGCGCCCATGCTCGAATAAGCGCCCTCCCCAAATAAGCGCCCACCTTCTCGGCCTAAATGTCAAACAAGCGCCCCCCCCCTCGAATAACCACCCCCTCCCTCACTTTCTCAAAGTAGTAATCTGTTTCTATTGCCAATTTGTTTACAACTTTATAACCTTCAACTTCAACTTCAGAATCGAAAAAGGAGAATTGTTTCTATCGTGTTCCAGTTATTCCTATCTCCACGTGCTTGCAGAGTTCCTATTCAGTGCGCTCTTGGTGAATGGCGTAAACCTCCCAGGAATGTTTACAATAATGTAGTATTTAATCAAGGTTCATTTTGAACTAGAACTTTATCTCGGTTCAACATTTCTTCAAGTGTTTATCTTGCTTTGTAATTAGGGACACTTCTTGCTTGAGTTCAAAAGATCACTTATGCGAAAGATTACATAAAAAAAACTAACTGTATAAAAAAGTGCAAAAAAAAAAATGGTAAGTTCGCGTTCATGATCATTTTCAATAAAAGTATTGAAATGTTCTACTTTTTTTTGGTGGCGTTATCAGCAGACATGGACACGCGCTTCAAATGAAACTAAGCTACGACTCATTTTTCGCCGAGAACAAACAACTTGTAAGGACTGTCACACAATTTCATTAAGAAATGTTCATGTGGTCCTGTTCATTAGACCTCTCCCTGCAAAGGTTAAAATGCTTACATTGTCCTCGCTCAGTGTTGTGAAAAGTCTCAGCTTACTTTCATCAGTATTCCATTGTAAGGCTATTGCAATGAGGCGGACGCTGACGTAAATCAAATCAAACTTGATCAACGTCGCGTCGGGGAAATGTCTTATATTAACGGAACCTCCAAGCGTCTATCAATTTCAGCTGGTTTATTAATCACTTGAAAGCTCATAAAAACTGAAATACAATAAATCAAAAAATCAAATACAAATATCTTAAGCGAAACAAAACTACCTTTGATTATACACGTTTCGGTTTATAAATACCAAAATAAACAAGATGAAATACCTCGTTCCCCGTTCTATTATTCTAGTATTTCGACAATCTTTCGATCTGGCTTGCGACTAACCCGTGTCTCGTGGCCGAATGAAACCTAATGCCGACAATATGTCACACAAAACCAAACAAAACAAAAGGGTATTGAACGTCATGCAAATCACAACTAAAATAGCCTTCGTTACAGCTATAATTAAGAGTCAGTGGTATCACTCAAGCTTTCTGTCCTGAATTGAAGCCCGGCGGTGTTCTGTGACCCTATCATGGGGTTCGCTGAGTTTGTAATTATCCTGTCGTCCAGATGTTTGTTATACCGGTGTAATGCGATCGCCGCAGCGGTTTCCCGTACATCTGATAACCTTTGAAAGGGGTTTGATGTCTTCTGATGTCGGCTGTTTTTCTCCTTAATCTCCCTTTCTAGCTGAAGGTTTTTCCGGTGCACTTCTTCTATCTTTGTTCCTTGTTGGGCGATTTTACCATTCATATCTTTCATCCATTGTTCTATTAGGAGGAAATTTTTCTTGAACTTTTCTTCAATGGTCTTCGTTTGTTGGATGTTTTCCATCCCCAAGCGCTTCGTCTCCAAGGTCAAATCACGAATCTGCTCACGATGATCCTCCACTAACTGTGAGAGTTTCCGATTATTTTCTTCGCTTTCATGGAACTTTTGTTGCAACTCTGTCATTCCATTATGGCAAACTGACAGTTCAGTTTTCGCAGCCAATAGCGAAGAAAATGTCATCTCTAAATGATCCTCTACGCTTGCCTCTAAATGGTCGATGAGATGAACTCTTTTGTCCTACAAACAAACAAACAAACAAACAGGATTAATTACCTTCTAGGATGGACATTAACAACTGTTTATAGATGCAAGGTGCAGGTATTTATACGTTCACCGCAAGTCTCGGTGGAATGGAAAGAAACTCAATATTCTTAAGACCTCCTAAACTGCGTTGATGTTAGTATGTATAGTTTGGTGGAGTTTTGTGAAGTAGGTGTGGTAGACGTAGTTTGGTGTAGTACAGTGTAGCAGGTGCAACATCAAATGTAATTTTAGTATTTCAGGTAATGCTACCATTGTAAGTAATGTTAGGGTTATATGTTAAGCACTGTAAACAATTAATCGATTATTAAAATATTTTGCAAAAGAAAAATGATGCAGAACGTTCAGTTTGTGTAACAAGATGTCCGCTCTTATTGAAGCAGGTAGCATAACATCTTCCTTGTCATATATATGTTAGCTATCTTGTCATGTAATCAACGAAATATGTTACTTTTCCTAGATGAAAATACTCATCATGTGAAAGCCTTCTTCATAACTGTTACCCAGCAGCATCAATCAACAATTTATAATAGTTGTACTGCCATGTGACAATATTCAGCTTACACCTATGTACAATTAGGTTTTAAAATTACCTATCACCCCCGGCTTTGGAAAGAGCTCTAACACTGTTATAAGTTATCAGATGAACTATAGTTCCCCTTTACCCAAAGATTTTGTGATCGTTTGTGTCATTAATTGCCTTTATCTTGTCCAATTTGACCTTGCATGACATTACTGGTGAGGTGAGTACAGATCTGCCAACACTCCTGTCCCATTCCTGACTTGGTAAGGAAGGGCAAGGGTATTGGTATATTGTGCTTAGCGCTTAACTCTGGAGTCTCGATTAAACCACATTGTCAAAGGCTAAAACTTTTTGCGTCACCAACTTGTCCGGTTGGGTGAATTTCTTTGCTTAATTCAAATTTTACGGGATGGTTACTAAAAAACTTTTTGATGGGATGGGTATAAAAAAGGACCGAAGAAAACATCAATTTACAATTTCGTGACAAACCTGAAATGGGCAACCAGCCTTTGCATAGGGACAAGTCACCTCTGACATTAGGCATTTCTCTGAGAGATGACTTTGCAGCTGATTGAAACAAAAAAAGAATACCAAACGTTAAAGTGCTATATAAACGAGAACTCAAAAATTTATTTAGATACACTGCACACTCTGAACTTTTTTATGCAAATCTTCTGTCTTATCCAATGTACATCGACGGAGTAGCTTGTAGATCGTACAGCAGTCGGGTCAGAGACCATTTACCTCTTCCCTTGGTATTTCTTTCTTTCCACAGCTGTTTGGGCAGGTAAGAGGAAAGCGTCTGCAATAAACTTCCTCGTGTTGCTGAAGCAAAAAGAGATCGTCTGTCAGTTTAAACATTTTTTGGACTCTATATCAGTGTATTCCCAGTATACGTTGTTTTCTACTTTTTTCCATTTTGTTGAAACCATATATTCTCTCGAGATGGAGTTCAATATCTTAAATTGATGTAAACTCAAAAGGCAATTGTTAATGGATGATCTCTAAAATGCCAAGTCGTATACTTGCCTGTTTTTCCATAAAAGTGTATTCATCCTGGCAGTGAGCGCACTCTATGATTCTTTTGGGGCATGAGTCATTTTGATGCATTTCTAAATGTCGCCTTTGAACAAGAGCGTCGCAAGCCAAACAATTTTGATCTTCATAAGAACACTCCCCAATATGTTCCTGAAGTGAGAAGAAAACTTTTAGCTGGTTGACCTTTTAAAAAAAAACATGTAGTCCTTTGATTTACAAATTCAATTTATTGACTCTTTCGGTCGCATAATCAGGCGTATATTTTGTTACTTTGTTCACCAGACGTAGCTAACTGTTGCAACATTCACAGGAGGTTTTCAATCCTATAAAAACATATATCGTGATTTCCACCTTCAATCATTACTTAGAATAATCAAACTTTTATTTTACCTCTGCATGTCGCAACTGACCAACCCACAGACATCCTCTATCACTCTGTAAGCATCTAACTTCAAGGGATAACATTCCTCTGGCAAAGCCCTTGTCTGAAAAGACCTGTACGGTGCAGAAAGTTAGAGGTAAATCGATCAGAAGGTAAAATCTATGAAAGGCCATAAGAAAAGTTTTAAAAAGGCTTTTAAAACACCACAGAAGTATTACATCTAAGAAAGCATTGAGGAAGTAATTAACCTAGTTTCAAAGCAGTATCATGAAATTTTAAGGGTATTTCACAAACATGAATATAACACAGAAAAAGAGGAAAGCCTAGCCCTGATAGCTATTTACTGAACAGTGTTTGTGCCTCACTTTGAATTAAGTCGGCCAACAAAGTTGTATCGTTTACGAAAATCGAATATTAACAGCAAACCTTGCAATCACTTGCAATAGATGCAATTCCATAATCAAGTGTGGTCTGACGGCGTAGCTATCGATTAGTAAGCCGTGGGCTGTATTTTTTCGAGGACTGATGGAGTATGCGCCTTCTGGACATAGGAAGAAATAATTATTTCTCCTACCTTATCAATATTAATTATTTCCCGATCCTTTGGACAAACTGGATTACCGCTCCTGTAGATAACAAAGAAATACAATAAATATTGTCTAAAACACGATATTTATCTGTGTAATGATGAAAATTTACCTCGTTTGTTTTGTGATCTATCTTACCACATCAAACGTATGAATTACGCCCCTCTTATTGAACATCTGAGCTTAATAGTGCCATTCTAAGAACTACTTTGCTACACAATGAATTTAGATAGCGGAGATACGCGAAGTCAATCGCATTGTGAGCCAGCTATTACCCAGTAATTAGACAGGTTAGTGAGAATCCTTACGTCTTTTCGTGGATTTTCAGTTGCCACGACTTGTACTTCTTCGATGGCATATTGCATCATGCTAATCACTGCGTGTGTTTACCGAAGTAAAGAAAATTGCTTACGTAAGCACAAAGGATCGAAGCTTTATTTCTGTCACTGTAACTCTTTTTAACCTACACAACGCTTCGCACAGCTTACCCCAGAATCCCCTTCAGACATTCTCTACAAAGTCTATGGCCACATGACTCAATTTGAACGGGATCCTTCATCGGAAAAAGGCACACTGGACACTTCTGATCGTCATTTATCCCGTCCACAAATTCGTATTCGTAGCCACCAAGACAGTTGTGAATTTCTCCATCTCCGCCTTGACCGCCTTCTAGGTTGGCGAAATTCGCTTCGACTTCACGGTCGTTTCCGTCAGCAGCTTCTTGAAAAGCGATCTCTAAATCCAAAGCCTCCTGGTCGTCCATCTCATCTGAGAGCTGAAACAGAAAGGCTGAAACGGGGACAACAAGGTTTCCCTATACGGAAATGAACCGTGGAACAGCCAATCATGTCGAAGAGAAAGTAATACGCTGTTCTAATCAAAATGCTTAGGTAAGCACTTTCACTTTCCATTTCCGGTTCTATTTTTAAGCAAGGCTGAAAGAAAGGGGACAGAAAGGCTGAAACGGTGACAACAAGGTTTCCTTATACAAAAATGCACAGTGGAACAACCAATCATGTCGGAGAGATAGTAATACGTTGTTCTGGTCAAAATGCAAAGAAAAGCACTTTCACTTTCCATTTCCGGTTCTGTTTTTAGGTATGCTGAATTCGAGGAACATCCCAAGAGTTATCAAATTTTTAAACTGGTTTAGAGGACTGTCAAAATAACCTTTGTTTAGAAGAAACTCCTAATAATAAATGTCATTCTGCGATGGTCGCTCTCGAACACCTATCATGTTGGAGAGAACAAAACTAGAAGAAGCTTAACGAAAGACATGTATGAAGAAAATTTTTTCGAACTTCAAAATAAGGACTTGAAATATTTATGCTTAATTTCTTTAAGCGCCATGACACGAAATGTATTTTTTTTTTTTTTTGCGTAAATATTTTGCTTATCATAAGTACAAACCAATTCCGACAAAAACTGGACAAAATCGACTAATAAGTAAACAAAACTGTGATAAACTTGTCGATCATTTGCGTAACGAAACAAATAGACGAAACAAAAATTTGTCCCATGATTTCGTCGGGAAATTCTAATTTTGTCTGCAAGTGCAACTAAGGTCGCTAGTACGGAAAGGCCCTTAAGCCTTTTTACGCGCTAGCAGATAACTATAACTATTTTGTCATTAAAAATTTTTGTTTCGTTTCTTGCATCCCTATGAAAAATATCAAAGCGGTCAAATTCCGCCAGCGCCTGATCTGCTCATTAGACCAGCCTTCTGACATAGTTTTCCAAAGGATTCCACCTAGGCCTCCAATTACAGGATTTATCCTGTGTCGTGCCTATGACACGAAATCTATGTGTGCGTAGATATTCAGCCTATCATATGTACAAACGATTCCGATAGGGGAAAAATTCCAAAAAACCTAAACCTCGGTTTGTCCCGTGGACAGGTAACGTATTAGCGGGACTGTGAAAACTCTCAGTTGACAGTTACAAATCTCTCTGACATCTCTTGTAATTTTGTATCAGTCGGCGTTCGGTAGTTAGATAACGGCGTAATATGTGACTAACACAGTCTATAGACTGTAAGATTTTACGCCACTATATGCGTCGGTATATATATATGTATGATTTCAAGCCGTTAACTAACGGCTTTAAATTGTTATCCAACTGCACTAAGTAGAGTGCAAATGACGCGCGAATCGAGTACACTTCTATCTCGCGATATTAGCCCTGTAATTATATCATAACGCACCTTCGCTTCCCGACTGGAAGAAATTACGCCGTTAGTTACTGGCGTAAAATCGTACATACAAACACAACCGACTGGAAGAAATTACGCCGTTAGTTACTGGCGTAAAATCGTACGTATAAACACAACCGACTGGAAGAAATTACGCCGTTAGTTACTGGCGTAAAATCGTACGTATAAACACAACCGACTGGAAGCAATTACGTCGTTAGTTACTGGTGTAGAATCGTTCATACAAACACAACCGACTGATTCTTTTGTATTCTTTATATGTACGATTTTACAGTCGGTTGTGTTATATGTAAGATTTTACGCCAGTAACTAACGGCGTAATTTCTTCCAGTCGGTATATTATATACTGTAAGATTTTACGCCAGTGACTAACATCGTAATTTCTTCCAGTTAGTATATTATATAAAGTAAGATTTTACGCCAGTAACTAACCGCGTAATTTCTTCCAGTCGGTTTCTTATATGGATGATTTTACGCCAGTAACTAACGGAGTAATTTCTTCCAGTCGGTTGTGTTTATACGTACGATTTTACGCCAGTAACTAACGGCGTAATTTCTTCCAGTCGGTTGTGTTTGTATTTACGATTTTACGCCAGTAACTAACGGCGTAATTTCTTCCAGTCGGGAAGCGAAGGTGCGTTATGATATAATTACAGGGCTAATATCGCGAGATAGAAGTGTACTCGATTCGCGCGTCATTTGCACTCTACTTAGTGCAGTTGGATAACAATTTAAAGATAATAAAATGCACGACCGCATGTTTTGGAAATTATCATAAATAATTTTAGCTGGTAAAAGCAAACTATTCAACAATTTGATTCTACAGCAGAATAGAGAATTATCGCAACGAATAACGATTTTATTCCGTCATCTCCGAGGAGAAAAAACATCTGTCATCTGTTCTGGTTTTTTAATGGTTATCCTGTTTCTTTCTTGCAGAAACTTACCAAGACCAGAAAACCAATCAACAGTGCCGAACCCGCCAACGAGTTCAAAGCTACTGCGGTTTTACCTTATGTCAAAGGTCTGTCCGAACAGCTTCGCCGTTGCCTACAACAACAAGGCGTACGCGCAGTTTTCAAGTTGGAGACTACGCTAAGATCTCAGTTAGTACGACCAAAAGACGCTGTCGACCCGGATAAACGAGATGGCGTAGTTTCCAGGATCCCCTGTCAATGCGGCAAGGTGTACATCGGAGAGACTGGAAGACCTCAGCAAGACAGAATAAAGGAGCACGATCGAGACATTCGACTCGCCTGTACCGAGACCTCCGCCGTTTCGGAGCATGCCCACGACACCGGAAACAAGCCACTCTGGAACGAAGTAAAGTTTATTGATCGTGACCCTTATCACTACACGCGCAGGGTCAACGAGGCAATTCATATAAGACTTCACCCTAACAACATCAACAGGGATAGTGGAATAGAAATTCCAGAAGCGTGGGTGGCCATGATCAAAAAACACAACAACAGGAGAGCCGTGCGACAGCGGACCGCCGAGGGAGCAAATCACTGAGTGAACAGGAAGGATCGAAATGCACCAATCAGAGCTGTTGAAAAACAACTAATCACAGCAGAGCATCATGCTTTATGAGATCACGCATGACCAGTCGACCTGAAGAAGACTAGAAGTATGCAGTCGAAACGTCGCGATCTACATCACACGTGACTACATCGTGAGACAAACGAAAAAATCAGCTTTTATTGTTATTCACCACGATGAATAACCACAACCTTTTCTACGAAACGATTTTATTTTCCTTGGTTTGTGCTATTAAATTTGACTACACAATATCTTTGCGCGTTTGCGCTGTCAGCGCTTACCGGCATGACCCGTAGAAACTTGAAATCATGATAAGATTTTGTGATAAGGAATGCAAATAGCAGTGTCATTCGATCAGATGATTCTGAATCAGATGATCAGATGAATCATTCCTCTACCTCCTAATGGAAACTGACTGCTCCTAAACTTCCTCTTAACCAAGTTGATTCAAAAATGGTCGAGAAGCCATTCACCGATAGAAAATTAGATAAAGTTGATTTTCGGTTCTGATCGTCCGGAGAAGAGTAGTCCTAAAGCGGAAGTCGTCATCGGAGTCATCATCGAAGTCACTCTGATTTAGACTTCCGCCTCAGGTTGTCGAAACGTCAGTCACTGCCACTAACAACACAGGTACAGATCCAAGCATTTTTGAAGGGTGGGGGGATAGTTGATTAGTAACACTCAACCTTGTCGTTTAACGTTTGCTTTCAGACAAGTAGTAAAAATACCCACATGTCTGATGGGTGGGAGGTGTAAACCCCCCCCTCCCCCCGACCCTCTCCCTGATACGCCACTGCAACAGTCTTTTTAGGTAGTCTTTTTTGAACCGTATGATCATATTACAGGATGAACTGTTACTCCCTCTTCAAATCAATTATTTTTTAAGGGAGATAGATAGATTTTTGGTAGAATGACAGATTCAGCATGCAGATGAGCTAAGTAATATGTTATACACTTCACTATATGCAACATGTACAGGAATGCTGTAATAACTCAGTAATTGGAGCACAATGCTCTTTGAACTGGCCGTGAAATGAGTTAAAAGTGCAGGGAAAAAAATATAGAGATACTCAACAAAAAACGAGCTCTCAGTTTGAAATCACTATTAGTTTTCTTTGTTGTCCTTGTACTTGTCCATGAATTCCTTGTGAAACTTGCTCAGCCTTTCGTACATAGGAGCAATTTTTTCTTCAGAGGGTAGAATTGTCAATCTGTAGTAGAAGAAAATAGGAACAAAACAAGTGGAAAGGAGGCAAGCGTATGATTGCAAATTGTGGAATACCCATTAAAAGATATAAACTCTGTATTTGTATTTGGGCTGCTCATCTCATGGACAACACAGAAAAATGAAACTGACCTAAAATGGTATGTTCCTTCCTTTTGTCCATAATTTTCTCCGGGAGTGGGGACTATTCCGGTTGTTTCCATCAACTGCCAGCAATAGAAGCCGTCTGGGTTAAGGTTATTACGCTAAAGAGAAACGGAAATGATTTAAAGAAATAGAAATGATCTTCTCGTAACGCAACCCTTTCACCACTGATGGACGCCAAGTTGGCAAATGACAAAGTAGTGTCCACAAATAGATGAGGTGCCTAACACTGACTGTCAGCCTTACTTACGACGATTTTTTCTTCAAAACCGCTCAGAGATCTTACAGAAAGTATTATTCATTTAAAACGAGGATTAATCTTCGAAGATTTACCTCTTATCTTCTAGCCTTTTTCGAAGATTTACCTAAAACGTTAACTTAAGTCAAATGAGACGCTTTTTCCAGCTAGACACAAGGGGATTTAATGCGAATTTTACTAATCGAATTGCTTCGGTTTCTCAGTTCAATTATGGAAATGTCAAAATTCAAGGGACTTGCTTAGAATTAGCGTAAGTAAATTTGAAGGTGACTTCAACACTTCGTTCAACGTTTTACAACTAACAATTTGTTTTGGAGAATTCAGATATTAAATGAATGAAAGTTACATTGATTAATGGAATTTTCTATCCCAAATACCTCTCGTTACAAGTTTCTGAGTTACTTTATGTGAAGTATGTTTAAATTACAGACGGTTTTTAGGCCGCGTGTCAATATCTTCAAAAAGAACCTTTGATATGAAAAAAATCACCTTGAAATTAATATTTGCGGAAAAACTGAAGTGATTTTAGAGGGAGAGAAAGGGAGGGAGGGGGAGAGAGAGAGAGAGAGGAGAGAATTAATGAATAGTTAATCGGTTAAAGGTCGTGAACGAAGTCTTCGCTTAAAAATGCTGCCCAGCTGGCAAAACAAAATGAATAATTACAACGAAGCTACAGAAGTTCCGCAAAGCGACTCAACACAAAACAGATACCACCCGCTATCAGCTGAGAGCGGGCCGGATGGGAGACTAGTGCCTGCTGTCGGAACCAATCAGATCGCAGGATTTGTAGAATACCGCCCGCTCACGAACTGAGAAAAAAATAACGAGTATCATCTCGAAGGTTCGTCCCTTTGAAATACATTTGTGTATCTACTGAGTTATAGTGAGTAAACTTATCGTCACATCCATAGCTCACTTCCTCACCTTGGCTTCCTCGATAGCTTTTTGAGGAAGACGAATTCTGGGGAAAGCATACAAGGCACCAGTTACTTCATTACACGTCACTCCTTCTAAAGAATTCAACATTGCAGTGGTAATTTTCGCTTTCCTTTCGTAAGACTCCAAAATGGCCGTCTTCTCCTACAAAACAAAGCTACAAATATATCGAAGTCTCTCATAGGATCATGAGAGATAGAGAGTTAAGTAGAGATAAGATTTATAATCGCTTTGCAACTAAAAAATTGAATTACATGATTATTACATAGGATAATATTAATAATAATAATAACATTAAAAAGAATTACAAGTGGTTTAAACCACGTTTCTAAAAAAATTGTTTTGTACATCTGGTACATTTATAAATAGAATATGTCGATCAAATATAAAATTCCGATTAACTAGTTTAGACTTTGAGGGAATTAAAAGTGATTGTAGTGTCACGGAATCTTTTTGTCTTGAACACGGGCCTAAACTTCCGTTTGTTTCCAAGGTTCAAAGTTCATATGTTACGAGCCTTAGAAACAAACGGAAATTTGTTTGCCTCACCATCATTGACTGATTTTGGTCTCTGATGAGTTTCACGCAACAAATTTTAAAATCGTAAAAAATTACTTTATTCAGTATAACTACGCAATAATTATTTAGCAAACATGACTTCAATCTAAATCAACAAACAAAGTCTTTTAACCCTTTTAACCCCAAAGAGTGACTTGCATCTAATTTCTCCTCACAATATTACCCCTGGGTCACACTTTAAGGTCACGAGAATAAAGGAAATGATCATCAACTAAAGAAGGTCTTGATTGTTAAACAAGTTCTCCTTGTCAGCAAGTTAGGAAAGGTCCAGATCGTCGCTACAAACCTGTATAAAAATTTCATACGACTCGTCTCCAGGCTGAGGCGGACAACAAATTAAGCTCATGGCAGCCTTAAAAACAGAAAAAAAAATCAAGCGAGGTTAAGTAAATTCTTTTGTTCTTGTATTTTTCTCAAGTAACGTTTCACTTTCCCATCAGTCCTTGAATAGAAGTCAAAAAGCCGTTTCAGTACAGCAGATATATGTACTGGTGCGTGGTTTGGTACTTCTCTCTGTATGTGAAATCTCCCATTTTGTGAAAAGAGATAACACTCATTGGACGGTTAAACGGTTTGGCATGCTGACCGTTCTGTTCCTGTTAAACCGAATGCCTTATCATGTGGTTATTTACATGTTTAAAATTAAGAAACTTGACTAATACCTGCCCAATAGTCGAGCCACTAACACTAGGAGACATCATATCTCTAAACTGCAATTTGACTGCGTTGCTGAATCCGACCAGCTCAAGATACCCTCCTCTCAAACCACATCTACAAAATAAAATAAATGAAATGTTCTTTAAGGAGAGTGAAAATATTTCTTATAAGAACCTGCATGTCATTCGGTATTTACCCTGCGTAAGAACATGTATGTCATTCGGTATTTACCCTGCGTTTGCATATCGTTTCGCCTCAATTTAAGCAGTGTAAACCTTATCAACTATTCCTGCCTGGTAGAAAAATGTGGGATATGGTCACGATAAATTTTGTTCGATTTTTTTTTGTAAATTTGCGAAAACGTTGAGGGGTAAACTGTGCAGTAGTACACGAAATTTTAAAATTGCTTATCTCCTTCATCTTGAATATTTTCTTTTAAATATCACGTTCACGAACTCAAAAGCTAAGAAATCTTGTAAAGAAATTTCACGTTGAACATCTTAAAGCATATTTTTGGCGTACCGCAAACAACCCGTGAAGTCCCCCTTCCTTCCCTGTCTCTTAACGAAAACTTCAAATGAAAACACGGGTGATGATGATATGATTTTGTACAAATAATTAAGCCGCACTGTTGTTCATAATGTGGCCTCTCCACTCACTCGCCATAAAATCCTTTGGAAGCGGAGTTGAGCGACATCAATTGAAAGTTGTTGTATTCAGGTCCCAGGTCCCTCAGAACCTTTCTGCACGAGTGGAATGGGACTCCCTTTATAAAGACTGTTTCTTGATACACTTCATCCGCAAATAAAACCAGTTTCTCTCGTGCGCAAAATTTGATGACTTCTCTTATGTTGTCGTAGCTTAAAATCTGTCCTGAATATGAAAGATAGACGCAAAGGTCATCCTACGGGTATTGATTTGGATGACGAATCACAGGCTAAAGAGACCTCCGAAATGGCGGTTGAACAACACAGGAATTATAACAACACCAAATCCAGCATCCACTATTTAACAATTTTACAGTGTGTCAATAAGTCACGTGTGAATTCTGCTGTAAAGGCAATATTGGAAATGTAATAAATATAGAAATAAATAAATGAGCAAAAGCAGCCGAGCAGCCTTTGAGACAAAATCACGCGTCAAGAGTTTAATTTTTACAAGTGGTGGATATCCACCGAGCCGCGAAGCAGCGAGCTAAGTATCCGCCACTATTCACCTCCACTTCGGTGAATAGTTGATAATTACCATATGACCCGCCTAGCCTCGCGCGTGCAATCCCATAGAAAATCATGGTGAAAGCTGAAATGTGTACGACCGGACGGATTGACGTGAGTCGCTCCGGAAAAAGCCATTCGGCCCGCACTCACACGGCTTTTTTGCAAAAACTTGAAGGAAAAAAAGGGTAAAAACACAATTGCGTCTTTCGATGAATTGTGATATTTTTGCTCTGACTCGAAAAAACAAAGCAAAAATTTTTTAATTGCCGAATATTTTTTATAATTCTCCCGCGTGCGCCCGTATATCGCGTCCTACTTAGGTTGAACCAAATTTTCAAAATTTTCAACTCTAAGTGGTCATGTGATAAAATGCTTATTGACTAACTTTTGTCAGGCTGAAATATTTGGCTCTCGGTCATGACGCACAGACCTCGCTGCGCTCAGTCCGTATATCATGACCTCGAGCCAAATATTTTTTTCCATGCCTTCCATTTGAATAATTTTCATTATTTCCATGTGTGCTTATTTTCCCTCTGGGAGTTTTTATTCTCGAGAACGAAAAAACACTTCTGCTTCACTCATTCGACATCAGGTTCATCTCCAACCACAGCACTATTTACCATGGTTACAAACATACGTCTTACCTGTAGGATTACCAGGATTAATCAGTACCAGTCCTCTTGGCTCACAGTGTGGCCTAGCCTTATCTATGGCTTTCTTCATTTCACCGATGTTAAAAGACCAGTTATTTTCTTCCTCCAAATAATAAGGGATCTGAGTAGAAAGATCAGTTTTAGCACAGCAATCATAAGCTGGGTCATTCCTCTTATGGACTTTAATCTACATGAATCACTGATTGATATCAGACCTTCATACATTCTAATTTTTTCTTTTGTTAAATTCTACTTGTCCAATAATGAAGCACTAAGATACAAAGAATAAGAAACGTTAAACTGAGTATGCAAATGAATCAGTAAAGAGATGCGGAATGTAAGTATTCAACACAACGTCAGCATTACCTCGTAGAGGTTGAATTCTACAATCCTGGACTTGTACTGAGGAAAAACTGGAATGGGAATCATAAGCCCTGGCTTTAGTTTGCCGTTCGGCATATCAGTACCAAGTGATGCTAGGCCTATCTGTAGAAGAAAATTTCGAAGAAAATGAAAATTTCACAGAGACGAAACAAACCTTGCGTGGTAATCGCAGTATTTCTGGTCATCCAAATTAAAGTACTACTTTTCACAAACACTGCCACACTAAGTTACAGCCAACGCACGTAAGCGGGTCTACATTGTACATACACATGCAAATTCGCTACTAAAGTCCATCTTATTGGAATTTCTTCTCCTTCTTCGATGTACCCTTTGAAACTGAAAAGCTTAAATGGAAATACTTCACATGATTTCTCGGCGTCGTGCCTCAAACGTTGCTCTACTCTATGCATCGTTTTAAAAGTAAAGTTGTCGCAGTCTGAGGCATGTAGGTAACCTGAAAAGACTGATATCTGCAACAGTTGCTACTCTGAAATGTTAATGGTCACGCTAAATTTCAAAATGGCAAACTTGTCTAGTCGGCTTACGTAAACCACAGTTTTCGCTCTAACCACATGTCGCCCTCATCACGTTTTACACCTGATATATAACTAAGCAGACACACGACTTTGATCAGCAGATAAACTGCAACCCAGTAGAAAGAGTTCTAGTCTCTCACCTGGATTCCTATTGCCCCTCCATTAGTTAAAATGACGTCATCAACGTCAGCTGGGTAACCATCTCTTCTGGAAATGTATTTGGCTACATCCTCGCGAATGAGTCTTAATCCAAAAGTGTTTGTGTACGAACCTAATAAAAGATACACTCCACCACGGTGGAGTGGATAATTTCCAAACGCTTTCCAGGGGTTAGGGTCCAAGATTTTTTTTAGGAGTGGGTACACCATTAGAGAATGACGTAAAAGACGAGTGACGTAAACTGATTTTAAAGGCCCATTTCCAACCTTGATGCAACGCGGTCGTTCGTTTTTTTTTTTGTGTTGAACCACAGCTTTTGTTTCAATAGCGAATCTGATTGGTCAGTTATTTTAACCTTGCCACGTTGTCTCAAAATAGCTCCTGCGTTTTCTCCGATGAGTTTGGTGAACTTGTCAAAATAATTCTGTTTAAAACAATACTCTACGTTTTAGTCCGGTATGGAATCAGATGAATCCATTGATTTAGAAGATTCCGAGGTAGTAAACGCTTATGGGTCGGTTGTTGCTGAAGAAGAACACGAAACTCCTTTCGAGCATTCCGAGGAAGGTCAGGTGAAAATCTTGATCCACCACGTTTTCATTCTTACATCAATTTTTTGTTATTAAAGTTTGCCATCCTTCTTAAATAGTACCAAGGGTCAGTTGAAGTTTCCTTCCCGAGAAGAAGAGCTTGCGCTCGAAAGAGTGATTGAGGTTGTTATCCATGCAAAGCAGCAAATAAGAACTGTAGAGCAAGCTGTCAGTGTCGCTGACGTTCCTGCAATGAAGTGACTAAACGTCCGGCAGCCGGACATGGTCTTAAAATAACTATACCTCCGGAAGTCCGATATTTTTTAAAAATATTTATACGAAAGTGTTCTACCTTTATTTTCAATCCTCAAGCGCTTCCGGCAGCCAATAGTTTTCAGTTTTTAATTTAAAACGTTCAACAACTCTTTTTCTTAGAGGTGATTTAAGGTGTAAACGTGAAGTACTTTCATCTGCCGCACTGAATTTGTAATCAGATAACTTATGCGAATAGCACGTAGTTTTCTTAGGGGCGGTACTTTCCTTCTTCGAATTTTGTGTTTACTCTGCTGTTATGTAACAACCTTCAAGGACAGTTTTCTTTTAAGATACCTTTTCAAGTATGATTCTGTTACTAAGTTTATTATAATTTTTGTATTATCAATCTTGCTTCTGTTCTGGTCGATCTTAGTCGTAAATGTAAGAAATTTAGGGTAGAAAATGATTTTGTAACTACGTAAACTCGAAGACGCAAACATATTATGCAGGGTCTGTCGTACGTAACTTAACGTGATTCGCTGATTGAGATAGAATGATGACCATTGAAGAAGATTGACAGCTTAGTAGTGTCACCTTTAGTGCCACCTTTATAAGCTAGTGCACAGTATCTTTCAATCAGAGATAGAGCAAAATAGAACAGTGTTGTGTTGTGTAAGTCAAGATCAGAGCTAGTCCCCGTTGTAATAACTTGCGTAATAAAGAGTGAACAAAAGAAATAGTCAACTGAACGACGAGTGTTAGGAAATTATTTCTAACAAGAGTACGATGAGATCCAAGCGTGACACTTAGAAAATTTTCCTCAAACACCTCCGAATAACTTGAATAACTCAACACCCGGCAGTCGGATATTTTCCATATTTCTCTTTGAAAAAACCTAATTTCTATTGGAAAATATTTTATCTTTATTTAGAATCCACAAGCGCTTCTAGAAAGTGAAAAAATTCGAACGTTGTCCTTTTCGCCGGCCCTGTTCACAGAGCACGAAGAGATCCAAGCGTGAAACTTGAAACAACTTTTCTTCAGATTCTAGCGATCAAAATTCAAAATACTGTAAGGAAACTGTAAGATGACTGACGGCGAATGTATTTACCATAAAACAATTGACTAAACGTCCAGGATGGCTCTTGAGAAAGACGGTTTTAGAAGGTTTTCAGTAATCTTGGAATTTCGTATTGTACGAAATTGGGTCGCGGCGCGCGTTGCACCAAGGGTAAAAATGGGCCTTAAAAAGCGAGCAACGAAGATGGAAGTAACTTTATGACTAGGGAATAACGTCAGGTGAACTTAGACCCAACTTGGGTGAGGAAAGCGGGGTGCATAATTCTTACACCCATTCTCTAGATCTGCCCCTGCTTTCACCGACACTGAGTTGAAAAACTGTTTAGTATGCACCACTCAGAAACTGAAAAGGTTCACAACACACTTTTCACATGTATGGTATAAACTCAAGAAAATACATATATATCTCCGTTTTGCTCCTGTGGTGCAACCCTTGGGTTTAGGCAGGTTATGAAAATGAGGTATCTGAATAGATTAATAATCAGTTACAAAAAAGAAAAATCAAATTGTAAATCAAAAACAAAGAAGGTTGAAAAGTACAATAGAGCACCAAATACCAAAAGCACAAATCAAGTCCTACCGTGCTTATCCCAAAGCAGCACAAAGTAAAGGAGAGGGGTAAAAAAAGGCAAAAAATACCATCAAACAAAACATAATGTTACTAAACTTACTCATAGAACCTTAAGAAGAATGAATTTGCTACCTACTTATGGCAAAACCTGGTGTTGCTTTAAGGATTCTGCGAGCCTTTTCCTTTACATCTTTTGGGAATTGTGGGTCATTGAGAAATTGTGGACAAAGGAGGCAGGCTAAACACTAAAGATACGAATAATTTCCTTAGTAGTCCTCTTGTTGGTTTAAAATAATGGATAATGGGTAGAATATACTCTAATCAATCTAATTATTAGACATCCAAAGCATTCAGATAAATATCCAAGACATTTTTGGAGATGTAGCATAATAGAGGAGGTTAAGTCAAACACACTGAGGGCCCACAATGGAATGATTCCTTTTTTTTTTTTTTGGAATGGTGTCCACTTGCAAGAAATATTGTGTAAAATTAGAATCTATTACATGTACTTTGGTGCAAACCATCAGTTTTTTGAAACAGTAACAAATACAGACTTAAACAATGATATGGCGTTTTTCCACGTTCCATTTTTCAAGATTTTGTCGAGGGAAAGGATGAGGAGCAGAGTTGTTAGAGAGGGAGGGGGGCTTAACTGGGAGGGGATTAATAAGAGAGGTGGATTTTTTGAGTGAGAGGGCTTATTAAAGAGTGGCTTAAAAGAAAGGGGGTTTACAAAAGAGAGGGTTTATTGAAGAGCAAGGCTCATAAAAGAGTTTACAGTATTTTTGTCTGCCGAGATGAGGCAACCGAAAAGTAACTTTAGTTGTAACAAGGTCCAGTAATATGAAGTTGTGAATTTAACCCACTAAACAGACAACATCGGCCAAAAAAGGCTTAACTTTCTTGGCATGCATTTACATGTACCAACCTGTCTTACAAAGGTGATAGGTGACTGTCCAAATGCATGAGGGTCTCCATAATGTATTACAACCTCATCAAATGGTTTTCTCTCACCCTAAAGGCAATATGATTTTACAGTTTTTAACGCACTGTATAGTATCCTACAGATGATTTTGTATTCCTCCAGCAAAGCTTTACCACGTTAAGTCTGTGACTACACTAATGAAATCAATTAAGAGAAGGAAACAGATTTTCTGGATGTAACAATGAGAGGACATGACTTAACTATATACATATATTTGACCACACAGAAACTAGTTCTGATAAAATACATTTTAAATGGTATATCTAACCCTTCTGTTACTGGGACACATACACACTTATGTATACGTTTGTTTGACTGTGAACAGTTACCTGCTCAGCAAGATAAAATTTGGCTTTAATTTCATTATAAGAAAGTGTACTTCCAACTACTAAAGTTTAAAAATTGTTTCAAGAATGTACTTTTAATATTAATGTAGCTCCTACACAACACAGCTGTTTTTGAAAATATAACATTGTGTTCAGCACAATAAGGTGTGAATTCCGTATTTAATGTTCTGAGAAGAATAATTCCACTAATTTCATTTTCTTTCTTTTGGATAGTAAATATATACAATCCCACCCTCGTGACGAGATGAAAAAAAACATCTTTCTCTGTTTCTTTACCGATTTCAAAACTTATCATCTTTCTTATTTCTATCTACAAACATTACGATATCGATATTGCTGATCCTAGCAGTATGCAGGACGCATGTCATATGAACTTCGTAATAGAACTCTTTCATCGCAGTGCGGAATCCGAAGGTCTGAGGTTTGATTCTTCATGGGAATTTTTTCTTTGTCCCACGCTCGTGGGACAAAGAAAAAGGCAAACATCTTTCTCTAGAAAATGCTTGTTCCAGGTCTCAGTGAGGGCAAAAAAATTGGTTATTTAAAGTCTCATAGGACTTTTAATTCATCAGAATTAAGATCTAAAAGACTTTATGAGTATTTCACTGTATTTCACAAAAATACACTGAGACATTCATCTTGTGGTTTGCCCCATATGAGCTCCTTCATCTTGAGGGGCTCTGGCCTTGATTGGAGGATAAATTAAATTTTATTTACACAAAATCTCAGTGTGGTTATCAAGGCGAAAACAAGTTTTGGACATAAAAGTTTTGTCCCTGGCAAGGGCTGCATTGATCATGGCAAAGAATGATGAAAATATGTACTCTTTAATACGTGAACTCAGGTGACCAATCAGCTGTGGCATGTTGTTTTTGTGAACAGTAATCTGGCAAGCCTTTAATTTTCTGACCCAAAACATGAAAAAATGGTTTCACAAGAGTAATAAACAAATGTAAAATGGTAAAATCTAGAATTATGGAATCACGATTGAATATTGATGAAGGAGTGAACAAATCATGGCCATTTGATTAAATAAACCAAGCCAAGCAAGCTTTTTGCAGATTATGATTTACAGCCTTTCAACCCACATTTATAAACTGATAACCAGGCATCAGGGGACTGACCAGGTGTGAAAGCCTTTGTCATGTCAAACTTTATGAATAATTGATGAATTAATTGATATATTAAAAAATATATCTCGTACTTTTCACTTTTTAAATTATCACGTACAAATTATCAGGTATATAATATACCGACTGGAAGAAATTACGCCGTTAGTTACCGGCGTAAAATCCGACATGTATACACTACCGACTGAAAGAAATTACGCCGTTAGCTACTGACGTAAAATCTTACATATAAACACTACCGACTGAAAGAAATTATACCGTTAGTTACTGGCGTAAAATCTTGAATATAAACACAACCGACTGGAAGAAATTACGCCATTATTAAATCTTACATATAAACACAACCGACTGGAAGAAATTACGCCGTTAGTTACTGGCGTAAAATCTTACATATATACACAACCTACTGAAAGAAATTGCACCGTTAGTTATTGGCATAAAATCTTACACTACCGACTGAAAGAAATTACGCCGTTAGCTACTGGCGTAAAATCTTACATGTAAACATAGCAGACTGAAAGAAATTACGCCGTTAGTTATTGGCGAAAAATCTTATAGATAAACACAACAGACTGGAAGAAATTACGCCATTAGTAAATCTTTCATATGACCACAACCGACCAGAAGAAATTACGCCGTTAGTTACTGGCGTAAAATCTTGCATACAAACACGACCGACTGGAAGAAATTACGCCATTGGTTATTAGCGTAAAATCTTACAGTATATAATATACCGACTGGTAGAAATTACACCGTTAGTTAGTGGCGTAAAATCTTACATACATACACTACCGACTGAAAGAAATTACGCCGTTAGTTACTCGCGTAAAATCTTAGATACAAACACTACCGACTAGTAGAATTTACGCTGTCAGTTACTGGCGCCTTAAATCTTACAGTATTTAAAGTACCGACTGGAAGAAATTACGCCGTTAGTTACTGGCGTAAAATCTTACATATAAACACAACGGACTGAAAGAAACTACGCCGTTAGTTATTGGCGAAAAATCTTACAGATAAATACAACAGACTGGAAGAAGTTACGCCATCAGTAGATCTTACATATAAACACAACCGACCAGAAGAAATTACGCCATTAGTTACTGGCGTAAAATCTTGCATATAAACACAACCAACTGAAAGAGATTACGCCATTATTTACTACTGTAAAATCTTACAGTATATAATATACCGACTGGAAGAAATTACACCGTTAGTTAGTGGCGTAAAATCTTACATATATACACTACCGACTGAAAGAAATTACGCCGTTAGTTACTTGCGTAAAATCCTACTTACAATTGCTACCGACTGGAAGAATTTACGCCGTCAGTTACTGGCGTAAAATCTTACGGTATTTAAAGTATTGACTGGAAGAAATTACGCCGTTAGCTAGTAAAATCTTACTTATAAACACTACAGACTGGAATAAAATACGCCGTTGGTTACTGGCGTAAAATTTTACAGAATGTAAATATTATGCCGATTATATATATATCCTTCAGATGCACGATCCGAACTTCCGATCCTCACAAGCAGAATCCAAAATCCGGATCCAAAAACTCGATAAAACCGCGAACCGCTGCAATTCCAGGATCCACAAATCCGCTAAAATTTCGCTCTGAATCCTATATCCGAGTAAAATAATTCCGTCGACCGTTAACCTTTTTACCCCCCTCACCTTTGGAACGAAAATTACGATGCCTCTAACATTTGCATTCCATTTCAAACGGACTTACTGAAACATTCAAACGAGTACCAAAGACTGATTTATGGTCAGAATTTTAAGGCTATTTCAAAATTTGCCGTCTGCAATGATCTCAGCTAGCTCAGAAGAGACTTCATTTGGCTTTCACAGCGGGGAGAGGAACATGCAAATCACTTTATCTCGTGGGAATCATAGAAATCACTTACTCAAGCGAAAGTTTCAGACGAAAACAAACGACAATAGATGTGAGATTCCAGGGCGGTCAAACAGCTACAAAGCTGCAACATGTTTTGCTTCCAAATATATCGAACAAAGAAGGCAGAGAAGCTTAGGTTATGGGTTTGGATTATTCAAAGCAAGCTGTAGAGAACACTTACCAGTGCCATTTCGTGCTTTATTTCGTAAGCGCGAGTATTGACCCATCCTCTGACATTATAGGCTCTCTGGAACACTGGATTGATAGTTTTATCCGTCAAGATTTCTTGCGCTGCCGTTTCCATCTGAAGTGGATGAGAATCCACGGAAATCTTTTTCATAATATAAAGGGGTAAGTTTCTAAAGAAACGTCGATTTAAAGCCTCAAACGGTGATTTATATGTAGAAGGTGGAGCCGCCATTGGTGGGAATATTGTGATCTTGTTGAATGAGTCGTTGATTCGCAAAATTTGATGTAACGCAATGCTCGAGAGAGGCCGCAAACTGCAATGCGAATGATAAGGAAGATTAAAGTGTCTAGCGACATGCGTCCTTGTCATTTATTTCCACATCGTGACAAATGACATTGAAACGTCAACATTTGGTGGCTAATTTAACCAGTCATAATATATGCATCTGTGCTCTTTTCGGCACGGTGCTCTAGTCGGCATTTCTCCGGAAAGGGATCGTACTGCGGTAGGCGCCCGCGCTCGAATAAGCGCCTTCCCCCAAATGAGCGCCCAACCCCTCGACCAGAATGTTAAGCAAGCGCCTTCAGCCTCGAATAACCAACCCCATCTCTCACTTTCTCAAATTAGTAATGTGTTTCTATTGCCAATTTGTTTAAAACCTTTTAACCTTCAACTTCAGAGTCGAAAAAGGAAATTGTTTCTTTTGTGTTCCAGTTATTTCTATCTCCGTTCGTTATCTGTTCCTTTACTTGTCCTATTGCTGCGCTCTTGGCCGCTGTCTAAATTAGAGACATTTCTTGCTTGTCTGAATTCAAAAGGTCACTTTATGCAAAAGATCACATAAAAACTATTGTACAAAAAAGTGCAAAAAAATAATAATAATTCATGTTTCTTGTCAGTAAAAGTATTGAAATGTTCTCCTTTTTGCGGTACTTAAGGGCCTTATCTGCAGACATGGACACGCGCTTCAAATGAAACTAAGCTAAGATACATTTTTCGCTAGGAACAAACAACTTGTAAGGACTGTCACATAATTTCAATAAAAAATGTTCAGGTGGACCTGTCCATTGGACCTCTCCCTGCTAAGGTTAAAATGCTTACATTGTCTTTGCTCAGTGTTATGAAAAGTCTCAGCTTACTTTCATCAATATTCCATTGCAATGTGTAAATAAAAATTAGTGTTATCACTCAAGCTTTGGCTCTCACAAAAACGACATTAAACCTTGTGCTTCAGGCGAACTAAAGCTCCATTTATATAAGGAAATTCAACTTATCACTGAGGGCCGGGTACTCTACATAGATACACTTGATAGCGGTGGCTCTTTTATAGGATCAAGGACGGTAACCATTACTTCAGTCATCGGATAAATCATCCATTTGATCTGTGTGATACCACCTTTGCAGTTTCATCCTTCGTGAAAGGCTTTTCATGGGTTGTCCTTCCACTACCGTCTCTTGATAGGGGTCTGTTCTGACTGCATTTTCTATCCTTTCCTTCAGGTGTTTAACGTTCTACTGTACCATGTTTTCAATCGTCTTCTCCTGTCGGCTGTTTTTCCGGGCCATCTCCTCAATCTTCCTTTCTAGCTGAAGGTTTTTCCTCGCACTTTGCCTATCATTATTTCTTGTTGGGCGATTTTACTACTCATATTTTTTTTTATCAATTTTTGTTTCTCTTTGAGGCTATTTCTCTTGAGTATTTCTTCGATGGTCTTCTTGTGTTGGATGCTTTTCATCTCCGAGTGCTTCGTCTCCAAGGTCAAATCACGAATCTGCTCACTATGATCCTCCACTGACTGTGAGAGTTCCTCCACTGACTGTAAGAGTTTCTAATTATTTTCTAAGCTTTCATGGAACTTTTGTTGCAACTCTGTTATTCTATCATGGTAAACTGACAGTTCAGTTTCTGTAGCCCATAGCAAAGAAAATGTCATCTCCAAATGATCCTCTACTCCTACCTCTATATGGTCAATGAGATGAACTCTTTTGTCCTACGAACAAACAAACAAACAGGATGATCAGCGCTTAATTACCTCTTGGGAAGGACTTTAACAACTATTTATAGATGAAAGATGCAGGCATTTATACGTTCACCGCTAGTCTCGGCGAGATAAAAGAAACTCAGTATTCTAAACACCTCATAGTTTGGTGAAGTAGGTGTAGAAGTTGTAGTTTGGTGTAGTGTGGTGTAGTAGGTGTAGAAGTTGTAGTTGGATGTAGAGGTTGTAGTTTGGTGTAGTAGGTATAGAAGTTGTAGTTTGGTGTAGTAGGTGTAGAAGTTGTAGTTTGGTGTAGTGTGGTGTAGTGGGTGTAGAAGTTGTAGTTTGGTGCAGTGCGGTGTAGTGGGGGTAAAAGTTGTAGTTTGGTGTAGTAGGTGTAGAAGTTGTAGTTTGGTGTAGTAGGTGTAGAAGTTGTAGTTTGGTGTAGTAGGTGTAGAGGTTGTAGTTTGGTGTAGTAGGTGTAGAAGTTGTAGTTTGGTGTAGTAGGTGTAGAAGTTGTAGTTTGGTGTAGTAGGTGTAGAGGTTGTAGTTTGGTGTAGTAGGTGTAGAAGTTGTAGTTTGGTGTAGTAGGTGTAGAGGTTGTAGTTTGGTGTAGTAGGTGTAGAAGTTGTAGTTTGGTGTAGGCGTAACCTCTACACCTACTACACCAAACTACAACTTCTACACCTACTACACCAAACTGTAGTGTAGTGTAGTGGGTGAAGAAGTTGTAGTTTGGTGTAGTAGGTGTAGAAGTTGTAGTTTGGTGTAGTAGGTGTAGAAGTTGTGGTTTGGTGTAGTGGATGTAGAAGTCGTAGTTTGGTGTAGTAGGTGTAAAAGTTGTAGTTTGGTGTAGTAGGTGTAGAAGTTGTGGTTTGGTGTAGTAGGTGTAGAAGTTGTAGTTTGATGTAGAGGTTGTAGTTTGGTGAAGTAGGTGTAGAAGTTGCAGTTTGGCGTAGTAGGCGTAGAAGTTGTAGTTTGGTGTAGTAGGTATAGAAGTTGTAGTTTGGTGTAGTAGGTGTAGAAGTTGTTGTTTGGTGTAGTAGGTGTAGAAGTTGTAGTTTGGTGTAGTAGGTGTAGAAGTTGTAGTTTGGTGTAGTAGGTGTAGAGGTTGTAGTTTGGTGTAGTAGGTGTAGAAGTTGTAGTTTGGTGTAGTAGGTGTAGAAGTTGTAGTTTGGTGTAGTAGGTGTAGAGGTTGTAGTTTGGTGTAGTAGGTGTAGAGGTTGTAGTTTGGTGTAGTAGGTGTAGAGGTTGTAGTTTGGTGTAGTAGGTGTAGAAGTTGTAGTTTGGTGTAGTAGGTGTAGAAGTTGTAGTTTGGTGTAGTAGGTGTAGAAGTTGTAGTTTTGGTGTAGTAGGTGTAGAAGTTGTAGTTTGGTGTAGTAGGTGTAGAAGTTGTAGTTTTGTGTAGTAGGTGTAGAAGTTGTAGTTTGGTGTAGTAGGTGTAGAAGTTGTAGTTTGGTGTAGTAGGTGTAGAAGTTGTGGTTTGGTGTAATAGGTGTAGAAGTTGTGGTTTGGTGTAGTAGGTGTAGAAGTTGTAGTTTGGTGTAGTAGGTGTAGAAGTTGTAGTTTGGTGTAGTAGGTGTAGAAGTTGTAGTTTGGTGTAGTAGGTGTAGAAGTTGTAGTTTGGTGTAGTAGGTGTAGAAGTTGTAGTGTGGTGTAGTAGGTGTAGAGGTTGTAGTTTGGTGTAGTAGGTGTAGAAGTTGTGGTTTGGTGTAGTAGGTGTAGAAGTTGTAGTGTAGTGTAGTAGGTGTAGAAGTTGTGGTTTGGTATAGTAGGTGTAGAAATTGACGTTTAGTGTTGTTTTGTGTAGTTGCGCATGTGACAATATTCAGATTAAACCTTTGTAAAATTTTGATTTAAAATCATACACCACCCCCGGCTTTGGGAGGAATTCTGACATTGTCATAAGTTATCAAATGAACTATTGTTCCCCTTCACTCAAAGATTTTGTTATCGTTTGTGTCATTTCTTGCCAAACGTATCTTTGCCTTTATCTTGTGCAATTTAACCTTGCATGACATTACCGGTGAGGTGAGTATAGATTTGCCAATACCCCTGTCCCATTCCTAAATTGGTAAGGAAGGACAAGGGTATTGGTTTATTGTGCCTAGCGCTTAATTCTAGAGTCTCGATGAAACCACACTGTCAAAGGCTAAAACTTTTTGTTTCACCAATTTGTCCGGTTGGGTGGATTTCTTTGCTTAATTCGAATGTTACAGGATGGTAACTAATTAATGGCAAACTTTTTGATGGGATGGGTATGAAAAAGGGCCGTTTTCTCTTGTTCTACCCGCAGTATAACATCGGGGCAATAAAGCCATCCTGAAGAAAACAACAATTTACAATTTCATGACAAACCTAAAATAGGCAACCAGCCTTTGCATAACAACAAGTCACCTCTGACGTTAGGCATTTTTTTGAAAGATGGCTTTGCAGCTGGTTGAATTTTAAAAAAAAATACTAGATTTTAAAGCGCTATGTAAACAAGAACTCAAACATTTATTTACATAACCGCACACTCTAAATTTTATTGTATAAAAGAGCTTTAGCTATACATCTTCTGTCTTATCCAATGTACATCAGCGGAGCAGCTTGTAGCAGTGAGATCAGACACCATCTACCTCTTCCCTAGGTATTCCTTTCTTTCCATAGCTGTTTGGGCAGGTAATAGGAAAGCGTCTATGTCAGTTTAAACCTTTTTCGGACTCTGCATCAGTGTATTCCTAGTATAGGTTGTTTTCTACTTTGTTCGATTTTATTGAAACATATATTGCATGGCTCGAGATGGAGTTCAATATCTTAAATTGATGTAAACTCAAAAGGCAATTGTTAATGGATGATCTCTAAAATTCCGAGTTGTATACTTGCCTGTTTTTTTTATAAAAGTGAACTCATCATGGTAGTGAATGCACTATATGATTCTTTTGGGGCATGAGTCGTTTTAATGCGTTTCTAGATGTCGCCTTTGAGCAAGAGCGTCGCACGCCAAACAGTTTCGATCTTCATGAGAACACTCACCAATACGTTCCTGTCGTGGGAAGGAAACTGTTAGCTGGTTGAATTTTTGGAAGTGCATAGAGTCCTTTAATTTACACATTCAATTTAATGACTCTTTCAGTCACATAATCAGTCGTA